ATTGTTGCATTAAATTTAGTAGCATAAACAACAGCCTTTCCATTTGCTTAGTAAAGTTTTGTAGGTAAGGAATTTGGAAAGGATGCACTTGCATGGATCTAGCTTGGGGTCTCTCATGCAGCTATAGTCAAAGGCTGGAGGTCTGGTCACCTGAGGCTTGAATGGGAGGGTCAGCCTAAAGTCAAAGGGAAGAACCTCTTAAGGAAAGTGTGTCAAGCAATGTTATGGCCATGTTTCTTAATTTTTTTTAAATTAATTATTTGGGAATTTCATATAACATACTTTGAGCACACCATATCCACTCCTCCACCTCCTCCCAGATCCACTGCAACCTCTAAACCCACCCCAGTTTCATATTGTCTTTTTTTTTTTAAAAATAAACCACTGAGTCCAATTTGTGCTGCCCATTTATTCCTAGGCATGCAGTCACCCACTTGACATTACCGACAAACTAGGAGCCACATCCTTAAAGAAAGATTCTCCCTCCCCCAGAAGTCACCAATTGCCCAGCTTCTTAGATGGGGTGGGGTCCTAAGTCATGAATCCTTTCCCACCCTATGCTAGAGTGTTGCTCGGTTGATCTGTGCAGTCTTGTACAGGCAATCACGGTTGCCAAGAGTTCATGAACACAGGGGTTCTGTCATGTCCTGAAGACACTGTTTTGTTTTGGTCCTCTGCCATCTCTGACTCTTACAGTCTTTCCTCTACCTCTTCGGAGATGATCCCTGAGCCTTGGGGGAAGGGGATGATATAGATACCCGTTTATGGCAGAGCACTCCACTGATACTCTGTATTTTGACCAGTTGTTTATGCATTAACCACTATCCACTCCATAAAGAAAATTTTTCTGATAGGTCTGAGAGCTGTACCAGTCCGTGGGTAGAGAGATAGGAATTTAGAGGCCAGTTTGAAACTGTCAGCTTAGCAGAATAATAGTAATAGGCTCACCTCTGAGGCCAAAATATGGGTCCTTGGCTAGACTTATAGGACCAGACATATGCCTCTTTTGTGGAGTGGGCCTTCAATCTAATCAGAAAGTAGTTGGTTATCCCCATAGTGTTTGTGCCACTACTGCATTTATAGAAACATCTTGTCATTATTGCAGTTCACTAGGTTCACAGGTGGATAAGACTTGGCAACTCCCTGCCTCTGGTCCCCCCCGCCCCCGCTCCCCATAACCTCCAAAGAACCTCCCAATACTATGAGAACTAATGGACATATTTTAAAATTACCACATGCTAACTTACTAACTTCAATACTTGTGTTCCCCAACTGTTCATCTGCTAATGCCAAGAAAGAGGCAGAAGCAAGGAATGAGGGCTGGTAGGTGCTGTTTTTTTTTTTTTTTTTTAAAAAAAAACTAAAGTAATAATAGCTCTCACATTTCATGACATTATGGCTAGATCACTTATCCCAAGACACAGTGAATACCAGAAGTTCAATTTATGCCTTTGTGATACTTGACCTTGTAGAAGTGCTATTGCACTTTCTCCACCCTGGGAATTCAAGTTTAGCTCTTGTGGTCATTTACAGTTTACCATCAATGGGGTGAAGCTCTCTTATCATACAAACCTGAGTCAGAAGAACAGGATGGCCCCATGTGAACCATTCCAGAAGCAAAAGAGCAGGAACCCTAGCTAGACTATGGCTTCTTCCAAAGCTCTCCCTGGGTTGCTTCATGCTGTCAAACTTACTGAGTAGGTGACCCCCCCTTGGGAATGCATGGAGACATTAATAGCTGGGTCTTTAATTAAAGTCCTTATTTCATCTCAAACTGATTTTGTGTATGGTGAGAGATGTTTCTTGCCAGTGGTCATGTGAGAGGAGTAGCAGGTGGCAACTGAGGTTTGAGGTGTCAGCCTATCAGGAAATACCTGATGAGTGACCCTTTGATAGGCAAGGCCCCAAGATCACTCCAGAATGCCTTTTGCTTCTGCTGTGCCTTGACATCTTTCTCTGGCATCTGGCATGGTATAAATGGATGTGGGGAGATTCCCTACTGTGTGTAATGTAGTGTGTTTATCTAATAGAAATATCCCGTTCTACTGGGTATTTTTACCTGTGGATTATTATGAAAATGATTTCCTCCTAAGATGTAATGTTTAACTGAAACAAAGATTTTATACAATAATAATGTTAGTTTAAATAGGATTTTGATGGTTGAGGGTTTTTAATGAATATACTGGGGATTATGATAGAGGTTAGTTTAGTGGAAAAGTTAACAAAGGTAAAGGTAGGGTAAAATGTCCCATCTCTGATAAAGCAGAGGCTGCAGAGGATAAAATATAGAACAATGAAGTGTCACACAGCAAGAACACGTGAGTTTCTATTGAGAAGCTGTATAGACTGTGACTTAGGTTAATGATGAAGGAAACCAACTGAGTTCCAGTAGCCCAGCTAACTTAGATTGTTTAAATCTTAATGCTGGGAGGTATACTCACAGGTTTTGGAATGTTCCATAGCTGAAACAGAGTTTTGAAAATAAAGTTAGACTAAGATGCTTTTGTGAAACAGTTGTAAGGTGAAAAACCCAAGAAGATAATCTAAATTTTTAGGAAGGCACATAGTTGAATGAGGAACTCGTCAGGGAACAAGAACAATCTAGTCCAATTATCATTAGCGGACATACCTTTCTTGCTAGGATTGGCTGATGACCAAAGATGATGATTAATTTATACCATTTCTATCCTCACTCTCCTGATATAAAAAAAAACTATTGATGAGTGGGTATGCACCCTTAAGATTTAAAGTAGAGCTGACTGATCATTTTTCATGTATAAAAATTTAGGTTTATGATTCCTTTATGTAAGAAGGAAAACATCAAAAGATAGATGTGGACATAAGTTTCTGTTCCACCTGGTCCCGCAGTCATTTAGTCCCAAGGAAACACACAGAGGCTTATATTTATTACAAACTCTTATTCTTTAAAAAAATATCCCTTGGGGTCCCCCTGCCCCGCAGCAAACTCCGGCGGGTGCGCAAGCGACTACAGTCGGCGGCGGTGGCGGAGGGTCAGACATATAAACACAGGAAATAGCCATAAATGTTTATTAAAAAGGGGAAGGGAGAGAGAGAGAGAAAGAGAGAGAGAAGGAGAGAGGGAGAGAGAGAGAGAGAGGAGAAGAGAGAGAGAAAAGAAGGGAGAGAGAGGAGAGAGAGAGGCAAAAGCCCCGTGTGAGAGGAAAAGCAGGAAGAGAGCGGGCAAGGCGGAGGTCAGGAGTTAAAAGGAGTGGGCGTGGCTAGGGCAGGGACCAAAAGAACAACACAAACTATTTGGCATATTAGCTCAGGATTATTAACTAGCTCTTCCAACTTAAATTAACCCATAATTCTTGTTTGTTTAGCCACATGGCTTGGCACTCAGTGAGGCATTCTCATCTTGCTCAGTGTCTAGCTGGTGACTGTGTTTCTCCATTTCCTCTTCCCAGAATTTTATTAGTCTGGTTGCCCTACCTATACTTCTTGCCTGGCTACTGGCCAGTCAGTGTTTTATTAAACTAATATGAGTGACAAATCTTTACAGTATGTAAAAGCATCATTCCACAGCAGATAAAGTTAGAAGAAAAAAAAATCTAGAACAAGAGAAGGAAATCACCAGGAAAGCAATAGAGAATGCAAAAGAAGAATAAAGAAAAGGTCTGGGGGAAACGAGAGAGAGAGAGAGAGAGAGAGAGAGAGAGAGAGAGAGAACACGTCTTTTCCCCTTACTCCTCAGATTAAAGAGTTGTAGTACGCCAACTCCGTGATTCCCTTTGAGCCGTGCATTCCTGGAGGATGGTCTGCTAGGCAGTGGACATTTCCCTTCTTCTACAGGTCACTATCCAGGTTTTCTGGAACTTTTTATTGAAGACATTGTCCTTTCCTCAATTTGAATACACAGTTTACAGTTCAGAACAAATTTTGTTGAGAACCATTTGGGTTTATTTCTAGGTCCTCTACTCTGTGCCATTGTATCTATCTATGCTTTTTACGTTAGTATCATGCTGTTTGGTTACTCTTTGTAGGTACTTTTGTTTGTGTTTTGGTTATACAGTGAGACCCTATCCTCTCTCTCTCTCTCTCTCTCTCTCTCTCTCTCTCTCTCTCTCACACACACACACACACACACACACACACACACTAAGTGACAGTGCTCATTTTCCCCACAACTCTGTCCACAGCCCCACAGCCTGTCTTCAAGAGTTGTCTTTAGCAAAGCTGGTTGGCCAGTGTGATCGTTAAAAACCATTTTGCTAACCTAAGGCATTGGGACTGACTAGGATCTTCATTGGTGCAGGACTTTTTTTAGTCTCCTTTTTTGGGAGCTTATTGCTTCATATGATGGGGGATGATAAAAATGAATGTGACAGAGTTCTTTGCCCTCAAGGGAAAAACCAGAGTTATAGAAAATGTGAATGATTCAAGTAGCAACCATGAGGAAATCTAGGGTAGGGGAAGACTGGAGGGATGGGCTGGGACAGGTGCCTGGGGTGTTCTTTGAGGCATGGGACACTCAAGAGACAGGGGCTCTGGTCATCTCAAGAATCCAGGTACTGAGCACCAGTTCAGGACAGTGCAGGTTGGCCTGTTGACAGCCCCCTAGCGGCTGAGCAAAGTCGGCGCACACGCTGGTGGAGTGCTGTTCTTGCCCTGCAAGACATCAGCGCTGCGCCACACGGTTACTGATAATGAGCTGAAAGCGATCAGTGGCCTTTTTTACTTCATTATTTTGGCAGGTTAAAAAGTTTGTTCCTTGAGCACTCTGAAACCATTAGAGAGGAGGGGGAGCCGTGTGAATGGCAGAGGAGGGTAGGTGGAAGGTGATGCAGGCTTAGGCAAATCTCAATACCACCCCCCGCCCCCGCCCCGGAGAGGACCAGGGAGTATGGAATGCCAGAACAGGTCCGCTACTTACACTCTCTTCCGCAGGGCTCCTGAAAGATGTTCTGCTTCCTGCAGGGTAGTTCTGTCACTCATCTAATGACTTATTCTTGTCAGAGGAATGAAAGACAATGTTTCTCCAAATGCCACAGTGTTTGCTTTATTTGAAACCTGAGGTTAAAAAACATTTCCAAATGGCACAGCAGACACTGTTAAAGGAGACTATTCAGTGATACCAAAGTTTCATCCCCTGTGGAGATCAAGTGCTGGTGTTTGATGTGCTTCTGAGTAACTCTTTGGCAGATAAGAATGAAATGGGTTCCCTGACCCATTATCTCATAAGGCCACACAAAATGAGGATTAATGAATTAAAGTGCATTCCAATCGTCACGCCTTCCCACAGAGACTCAGTGGCACCGCAGCCACCAAAAGCAGGGCATCTAGATTAAACATACGTCAAAAGGGTCTAAAAATACCCCTTGATCAGAGAGATCTCCTGAAATTTAAAAGGTGTTTGAGAGGGAAAAGGAAATTTTGAATTAACTTTCTTGTTTCGTTGGAAGAAATTAGGTGAGATGAGGAAATTGTGCTAAGTTTCTACCAAGTAGTGTTCGTTTCTGTGAATGTGAGCAGCACTCAATGGTCTTCATATTGCATTCCCTGGTTCTGAGCACCAAAGATGGCTCCTCTCTGCCTCCTTTTCCAAAACCTCTGAGCCAAGAATGTTCTCTGAGTATAAAGGATTCTCACAGGTAGAACCACGGAGTCTGAGTTTAAAAACAAAACTCCATGAATATCAAACTAGGGCAAGATTTCTTTTTTGGCCAGGAGTGGCTTGATACTTGGCGGACAACTGAACCTGTTCAGAAATAACATCTTTATTTATATATGGCTCTTCGTTTCCACTTCCCAAACCGTATGGAGATTTTCAGTTCCAGATTTCTGCTTGAGAATTCCTTTGCCTTCTTTGCCAGGGCTAGCTGGAATCTAAGGTATGTAGTCAGCAATGCTCTCCGAGTCTACTGAGACACGGAGGGCCCCATCTCTGCCTCAGACATACTTCCCTGTGTCTCGGTAGCTGGTTTATTTCTTGGGTGAAGTCAAGTAGTGGCTTCAGTGTCACTGGTAAACAGGCAGCTGGCAACACTACTAACATGGCTGTTATGATTCCTCATAACATAGCTGAGTCATTACAGGAGGAGCTGTCCTTAGAAAAAGAATGACCCAGGATCTCAAGGATGTTTCTCTAAGCTATCTGTCCTAGAAAAGGAAACAGTAGGCTGTCTGCAGTATCAGATATGAGCTGATGAGCAAGAGGGGTGGCGGGCAGATGGAGGCCCAAAGGAAGTTATGCCCTGCTCTTCTGCTACATTGCTTCTTCGTCACCAAAGACATTTTAGAAAGGTTCCAGGTATTGAAAGTGGTTCTCAACTGACTCTACTCATGAGTAAACAACCGTCTGCAAATGAGACAGAAGCTCTGGTGTTTACAAAGACGGGCTATGGGCTGACACATGAGCTCTGAGGCCAACCTGAGTCCACTGTATTTCTACTCCTGCCATCCATATGCAGAGCTGAAGCCTTCAGGTAGTGGCTGCTCTTTCCTAGACCTCTGGTTGGTTCTTGTGTGTGTGTGTGTGTGTGTGTGTGTGTGTGAGTGTGCATGTGCGTGTGCATGTGATATGTGTGATTTAGAGTTGCTGAGTGGCCAGGCTGAGCAAAGGCCCTGAATAGACAAGGGCTCTGAAGGACAGCACAGTTCAGCACCCGCCCCCAAATTGCTGAGAATGAGAAAGCAGCCCCTTCTTATGGATAAATTAAGAGATAGGTTCATCTCCCACGTGATGGCCCTGTGGTCTCCTTCTCCTGGGACTACACAAGGATTCACAAAGGGAATCCTTTGCCTGAAAAATACCACAGCAGACTGTTACCAACTATGATCCCAGGTGAGGCCAATGGTGTTTCTAGAGTACAAACATTTGGCAAAGTGTCCCTTTGGGTGAGAAGATAACTGAGTCTCACATCTGGTCCTTAGGAGCCCTGGGAACTGACAGTTACAGCCTCACGTAACCAAGCACATTGTGAATCTTGGCAGAGTAGTTTCTAAGGTGCAGTTCAAGGCTCTGCCCGAGCTGCAGAGCTGGTGAGCTGGGGTACAGCTGATTGCATTTCCTTTGTTTCTAATTTTTAAAATTTTGTGAGTGAGTGTGGGTATATATGTTTAAAGAGATGGGTGAGGAGGAGTAGTGTTTCCTATGGATGATAAAGAGCTTTAAAGTTCAGGTACTGATGCTATGGGAAATCGCTTCCATCGTAGATCACAGGCCGGTCAACAGTCAGATGGTAAAATACTTTTTTGGAGATAAATCTGAAGAAATAAAAAAAATGGAAAATGTAGGTGTTACTTTTAGTGAAGACTGAGGCCTCATGTCACTGACTGGGCTTTGCTAGGTGTAGAACTAAAGTCTCCAGAGAAACAGCTTCTGGGAATTGGGCAACTCACGGACCATTTTAGTGTTCCTTGGCTCCCTATCCCCATCTTCTGCCTGTCTAGTCTAGTAAAGTTCTCTCCCCTCAGAAGGTCCAAGGACTGTCCATCATGGGCTTCCTAGGGCCTCAGTGAAGGGTGGGGCTGTAAATCTCTGTCCTCACTAGCTACTCTGAGGTGCCAGTGGTCAGGACTGCATGGGAGGACGGACTAGGTGCCATAGGAGGTCATGGCAGAAGCCAGAATATATGTTACACACACTGGACATTTGTGTCAGTTCTGATCTCCATGTACCATAGACAGAGATCATTTTCCAGAGCACTGCACCACCCTAGGTTTTCCAGGAGCCTGAGGCTGCATGCGGCCCTTGTCACACTCTTTCTGGACCCACAGCCAGGCTCAGGGAGGCACGGATACTTCTAGGATCATTACAGAAAAAGAAATGGTTAACTAGAGTTGCAGCAGGAAGAACAGAGCTTGGCTACATAGACACTGATCCTCTCCTAACCCTGCTCCCTACTGTTATTGCTGCTCACCTAGATGGGGACCACAGTCAGCTCCCTGGGAAGGCTGAGCACACTCCAAAGTCCTACAGATTTAGGCAGAGTTCTATTATTCAGGGCAACACAGGACAAGTGGGAAGGTCTCTTGCATGGTAAACAACCCTGTCCACAGGCCTGAGAACTCAGGACCTGAGGACCTGGGGTAGGGTATGGGAACACCTTTGCCTAGAGTATCCTAACAAGTTACTCTACTAAAAGCCAAACACTTGTGATGAAGGGAGACAGCCACAGCCAAGACAGGTCTATTTTAAGAAAGAACCCCAGTGAAGAGGCTCCTTGGAAACCAGAAGCCTTCTCTAGGGACAGAGGTCTCAATTTGTGCATGTGATAGATGCTGTCTGTCTGTTCTGCCTGTTCCCTTTTCTAGCCACCTGCTTACCATCCTTTTTATATTCTCATGATGATTACTCCTGAGATCAGACCCCCTAGAGCCTTTAGCTGACCCTCAGTACTGCCAGAAGTAAATGGAGAAGTCAAGATGGCAAAGACTGCTCCTGTGACATACAATATGGCTGTTGTGGAATATTAGTTTAATACTTGAGTGGTTAGTATACGGTAAGACACGGTAAGTGTTGGTCCACCGCTGCAGCTTGAATAACCCATGTGCCCCATAGGCTCACTTATGTGATCACTTGGTCTCTGGTTGGTGATGCTGCGTAGGGAGGATGTAGCATTTTCAGGAGGAAAAACTTTGCTGACAGAAGTATGCCACTGGGGGTGAGCTGTGAGGATTTGTAGCCTCCCCTACTTCCTGTTTGCCCTCGTTGCTTCCTGCATGTGAATAAAGATGTGACCTGTCAACTCCTGTCCTGGCTGCCTGCTGCCATTATGGACTCTCTGAAACTAAAAGTCAATTAAACTCCTTCTTCCTTTAGTTGCCTTTAATCATGGTGTTTTATCCCAGCAACAAAAAGCAACTGACAGACCTGCTTTATAAAACCTACCATGAGCAGTGAAGGCAGCGGAGGAGTCTCAATTATAGAATCACTAGCAAAAAACTTTGACAACGAAGTCTTGATTTTGAGTGTCTGCCTCAGTGCTAGAGAACAGGAGCAATGATGCATAGAGACAGGTGGACCCATGAGATGCCATGACCAACTTAGGTACCTACCTGGAAAAGGTGTTGTCAAAGATAAGCAAGTAGATACCAGGGGTTCGGACCTTCAGCTGGCCCCGGATACTCTCCTTGTGGGAATTGCATCGGGTGGTGGGAATGAGGACCTGGCAGGGAGAGCAATAAGGTGTCACAGAAGCTGACGGCTGTGAGTCCTCTAGGCAAGCTGAATGAGGTCACAGCAGTAAAGGCTGGGACGAAAACTCAGCCCCAGCAAGGGTGGGGTGTCACTGTAGGCAGATGGTGCGCATGCATCTCTTCCACACTAGAGCCAATCTGTCCCATCCCTTGGCGAAGCTGTACTTCTAGGCTTTTAGGAACATTCTAAGTGCCCATTTGACCAGCGGCCTCACGTAGGTCCTAGTGCTGTCCTTAGGACACAGTCCTCTTTCCGGATGATGACATTCAGGCTCTCTATAAAGCTCCTGGCCCCGCCTCCTCCAGGAAAGACAGCCCTAGCTCCACCCATGGCCTCTCACAAGGCATCACCACAGGCCCTTCTCTTGGATAGGTGCTGGCCAGTCCATGTGATTTTAATCTTTCCAAGCCTAAACCTTAGCCTCCTGTTTATTCTTTCAGAATCACAAATTTATCCCCTAAGTGCAAATCTGGGCATATAGTGTATGGATCAGAGCTAGTCCTTGGATGGTCAACCTCATCCCCATGGGGGCAAGGTCTACCTGAATATCAGCTAAAGCACAGGCCTAAACTTAAAACTGAAGTTATATGAGCTAGCAAAATGGCTTCGTAGGTAAAAGAGCTTGCCTTGCAAGTCGGACAACTTGAATACCATGTAAGGAGGTGAAAGGAGGGAAGAGACTCTATAAAAGTATCCTCTGGTCTCCATGTAATGCCATGAATTAATTCATCCCCTCCCCAATGATAAAGTGAACAAAACTGAAGGTGTGACAGGGAGAGATGACCAGTATTCTGTTTCCTTCCTGCTTTCCTCCATCTTAGAGAGTCTTGTCCCCCATCCCCCAGTGCCTTACACTGTCTACTTAGCAAAACCTATGCATAAAGGGTTATATAGACCACCAGCTCTACAGAGCACTCTGAGCTCCTAATATAGCAAATGACATCAGAAGTGACCGTTTTTATCTACCCCTCTTACCCTGCAATGAGACAGTCTCAGCGTGGCCTTCTCTGTAGACACAGGAGTCCTTTTCCAGTTGTGCCTATAATGCCTACCTACTCATATTGTGATTTCTAGTTGGAGTCATAGGGCTTTATTTCTCAGAACTCTCTCTCATTCAGAATCAAGAATAGATCTGGGTGTCATCCTATATCTCTTTGTCCCCAGTAGACTCTACAGAATGTGGGATACAGTAAGAGCTCAGCTTTTAACTGTTCAAGGATCCAGCAAGGTTCTCATGTGTTGTTATGAGATACGGCCATCTGTTTTCTGAAAGGCCTAGGCTGGTCAAAAGCATATGAGAAGTCCCCTGGACAGGTACTAAAGATGGGGACCTAGAAATACGCTGTCTAGGCTCATGACTTTTCAGGGGACCATAGATAGAGAAAACAGCATTCTTCATCGCTGACTGGTGACCTGGGCCTGGAAGGGCAGAGGAACACCTAAATATTCTAGACATGGGCTTTTTCTGCCCCACTGTGTTCACTGTGGGAAAAGACAGTGGAGATCATTAAAAACAGGAAGGGCTCCTTGTAAGTCTGAGTGAGACAAGGATAGCTGAACCAGGCACCTAAGCTCCATCTGTCATGAAGATTGATGGGTAGATCAAGAAGCAAGGGCGAAGTCCACAGCTCAGAGACGCTTATGGAGCTAAGGGCCTAGCACCTGAGGCTTGCAGGACTCTGACAGCAGAGGATTTCAATTGCTGGTGCCAAACAGAGAAATTTGCTGAAAATAAACATCAAAGAACCATTTGCCTACTCATAATCGATTTCTAGCAAGGTAAAGCAAAAAAGGCCTCTGCTAGTTAACTACCTAGGACAATTAACTGCCTAAAATTCACTTTTTGTTGTAACCTCCTGTGTCTGAGAGTTCTTTTTTCTCCATTCTTTTCTCTCATGATTCAAATACAATCTGCATTTCTACCCTTCATTCCTCCTCTCTGCCTTACAAACATGGGAACTCAGCTGCTGGGTGTGGGGATCCCTCTTTCTCACCCCACAGTGAATCAGCATCCTGCGAGCTTCTACCCAGCCCTTTTGTGGCTCTGAACTACTCAATTTGGGCTGCTCAGTGGAGTTGCTGAGGGTTGCCTGCACTGTATTCCTGATACCCTGCTTTAGTGGTCTGGGATTTGGCCTAAGGATTTGGGTTTAAAGTCTCTCCCTGGGTTTCTAGTGTATAGCCACATGGTTGAGAACTGCAGTTTTTCATTGCCAACATTTTACACCTAGAATAGCCTGGATGTTATAAAGCTCAACTGACCATGCCATACTGGGGCTGTCTTTGCTGTTGTCTTTGTAGGTGACATTTGGGACATCCAAAATGAATAACTGGAGACGGAGTCCATAACTCCCAAGGTATCCCACCCTGCTCTGCAGAGTTCTGTGAGAGTAGAGTCCTATCTCTTGCTCGTCTCTGAGATTTACCTACAGATCTATCCCAAGGTCAAATGGAATACGTGAGGCACAGAAATAACCTTCAGCCAAATGAAGATGGTTCTCCTGAACTTGACTTCTGGGTCTTGTTTCCCCAAAGAAATCAAGTCTTGGATGCTTTGCCCACTCTGGGGAAGGTTTGCTCAGGCACCTGGAGCGTGTGATAAGGACGCTGGTAGGGAACCTGGCCTACCTTGCACTGGTCAAGTGGTGTGTCTTCTGTCTCTTGGAAGACCACACTGAAGGAGATGCTCTTGGGGTCAGAAGAGAAGACCCAGCAGATAGTGAGGCCAGGCTCAGCTACGGTGATAGGGATCAGGCTGTAGGTACTGGACCTCACAAACAGCTCCCTGTTACCCTCCCCAAAGCTGATGATCTCCTCCACTGTGAGGGGTAATTTGATCCTAAAATAAAAATGCAAAGAGAAACCTGGTTCAGTGGATTGTCTGAGGCTTTGAGGTAACTGGATATTTGAGACTCTTTGTAGGTTAAGCATGGGTACCCCTGACTGACATGTTTATAAGACGCTCAGCTCAGACAAAAGCTTTGGTTTGAGTGCTCACCACACAGCTGGCATAGTTCTTGCCCGCGAGTCAGAGCTGTGAAAGATACAGCGAGTCCTTGCCCACATGGACCTGAAAGCCCGTGGAAACTATGGGGACAACTGACCTGCTCTGAGTCTCTTACGGATAGGATTTGAGTGCACATCTGTGAGGCTGGTCCAGCCTTTATGTTCTGCCGCCTCCTCTCACCCTATCAGACACACCTCCCACAGCCTCTCCGCAGATTTGTGTGAGAAGGGGTGGAGGGGTTGAAAAGTCAAACCTGAGAGAACCTGTGTCAGATTTCACAACTGTCTTGCTTTATTTTCCAAATCTGTAGAATTGAAATGACCATGTTTTCTTCACATGACCATTGTGGTAACACTGAAGATTGTGGAGCTGAGGGGAGGCCTCTGACCTCTTCCTACAGCCAATCATCCTTGGATCCACTTTGCAGGGGGACAGTGCTGTGACAGTCTGCGGTTGAGGCACAAATACTGCATGAGATGACATCAGAGGATGAGGCTGACTGTGCGGGATCCACTAATCCCAGGCGCCAACCAGCTGAGTAGATTTCTTCTTTCCTCAGTCACTCAAAGGCAGCAAGCTTAACCTGGGATTATGGTAACAGGACCTTCAAATGGAGCTGAATACCTTGGCTTAGTTTCTTACCATGAAGCAAGGCCTTTCCTCAGCTTCTTTTTTTTTTTGGTTTTCAAGACAGGGTTTCTCTGTCTAGCCATGGCTATCCTAGAACTTGCTCTGTAGACCAGGCTGGCCTCAAACTCACAGCGATTTGCCTGCCTCTGCCTCCCAAATACTAGAATTAAAGGTGTGTACTACCACTGCCCAGCTAAACAACAAGTTTTAAAGGATATAAATTATGCTTTAAAGATAGAAAGTACAAACTGAAGTCCCTAATGCAGTTAAAATAGACATCAGGGTTCAAATAGAGAGGCCTGAAACACATGGGAGGGGTAGAGCCAACCCGATCACATAAGGGGAAGGACAGGGCTCTGGGGAAAAGAGTCAGTGTCTGTATGCTCTGGCTGGTTCCCACTTACACAAGGGCCTGCTGGAGGATATACTCAAGGCACTAGTTGGTTCCTACTCCACACAGCCCTACTGGGGGACATATTTAAGTCTCTGGCTGGTTCCCACTTCTACAAGGGCCCTACTGAGAGACATAACACAAGGCACTGTTGGCCTTTCACATATAATTGCTTCTAATCCAGCTAACTGCAAAAGACTAAATTGTGGGTAAGAGTAATTCCTAACATGATTCTTCTACTTAGTTCAGAAAGGAGATCATCCCAGGCCACCCTGTAAATCAGGAGTGGGATATGAGGCAACACAGAAAAACTACAGCCAGATGTTAGTAGGTGTGACAGGAGTTAATATTACCTCTCCACAAACAAGTACACCACAAGCAGGTGGGGTTGGGATGTAGCCCAGTGGTAATGTAGCTATTACGCATGAGATTCTGAGTTCAATTCTAAGCACTGCCTAAAACAACAAAATAAAACAATCCCTACAAATTGAACAAAGAGAAGAGTTTAACGAACTACCAATAGAACTCCACCAAGTTCTGAGGCCAGCAACACCTGTAAAATCAACAACTAATGGACTAGCAGCCAAAAGACAGCCAAGACCAACAGCTAACAAAGCTCTTCAGAGACGAACAGGAAACTTTGTGATTACTCCCCTGTGAGCAGCACGTGAATGAAGAGCCCACGATCATCTCTCAGCTGGGTGAGGAGACTATGGGATTCTTCAATTGGCTTGGCCTGTGATGTGCTCAGGGAATTAGCCCATGCCAATTGTCTAGTTCCCTGCTACAAGTCCTGCCCCCAGATAACAGCTCGATGTTTTTTCCTTTCTTAGAACTCTTCCCCCTTTCTTTTACATTTTCTTACTTTTTGTTAACTTCTCTTAATAAAGCCTGCTTTTGCTTTACTTACTCCTATATGTGTCTGTGTCTTTAATCATTACCCATTTGGCTGGATGTCTGTCCTTTGGTTATGACCGACTGGTATCTGAGTCTTTGAATCACATACATCTAGGCTGAGAAAGGCCCTGTTGCCCTCAAAGATCTGCATTATTCCACTGGTGGTAAAACAGAGCACTGGGTGAGCCAGCTCCTGTTGTGATAGGACCAGTGTCCCTCCTCCAGACTCCATTCTCCTGGGACTCTTCTCCACTGGCACAAGAGGCCCACTCATTAGCTTGGCACTTACATCAGCTCTCCAGACTTCAGCAAGCAGATTTCAGCATCCTGCCCCACTGGCATGTCTTCAGTGTCTTCAGGGGTTAGTGAGTTTGATGTAGTGTCCCTGAAACATCATAAAGGTGAACAGGCCATTAGCTATCAGCACACAAAGTTATATAGCCTGAGGCCTATAATGGAGTCATGTGAGGACTTCTGAGGATAGCAGAGGAAAGACAACAGGGCTGCAGGAATGCCTGGAAGGAGTGTGAGTATAAACACCAATGAGTCACTCTCCCCTCCCACATCAGTAAATCCTTCTCTATGCTTAGGGGAGGCAGGCATGATACCAGCACCATGCCTCTTTCCTCCTTAGCACTGGTCCTGTTGGTTCTGCAAAGCTGGTTCCAGCATCAGATACCCTGACGCGGCTCAGTCGGTACAAGAATAGGTCTAGGCAGAGATGGGACAGAGGGAATACTTACCTTTTCTTTCCTTCCTAATGTACCACTAGGAGTACAGAAGGAGCTGCTTTGGAACTGGGGCTGTCCCAGTCTCCAAAGTGTGCTCTGTGGATAACCGATACACAGGGAGCAAGGGTTACATACATCTCTCTCTTAGAAAGTCATTTAGGCAGTTGTCTAGGTGTTTCTTCCTCATTAAAACATTCCCTTTCAGATGGAGGAGAGCGCTCTTAAGACTCAGTAAGCTAAAGACAGAAGTGCATAAAAGTTATAGAACTCAGTTTGCCTGGCATGGTGGTGCAGCCTTCAGCACTTGGCCTCAAGGCAAGTGGATCTCTAGGAGCTTCAGGCCAGTCTAGTCTACAGAGTACTCCAGGGCATCCAGGGCTAGCTACATTGATAAACCGCATCTCAGAGGAAGAAAAAAAGGAAGGAGGGGAGAAAGGTACAAGATTCACAAGCCCCATCCCCCTACTCCTCCACCCCCACTTTTAAAAACAGTAATTAATTGCTGGAGCGAGGAGACTCTCTTCAGGAAGCTAACTGAAGGCTGTACAGAAAACTCCAGTAATGCAGCTATTATGAGTTCTCACCTATTCTAGGGTGTGCTTTTTGGTGAGGCAGTTCCCCATTTTACCCACACACCTGTAAGTAACACTAATTAAATTCACGGATTCATCAAGCTAGATTTGGATGGAAGTTTCTTTGGTTGTTAGTGTCTTATTTGGCGTGTTCTTGTATTTATCTGACCATGGAACATTATGAACACCTGCAAAATTACTGACCCTCAAAACACATGGGCAGATAAAAGTCCCTGGATGGGGACTTGAGTCCCAGCTGTTTCTCCAAAGCAGGATTCGTGCCAGAATTAAGATAATTTGACTGCAGCTCAGTGTGCTCCCATTCAGGACTCTATGCCCAGCCTGGCTCGTAGCTCTTAGGGGTCCCATAATCCAACCAACTTCAGCTGACAATTATGCCCAAGAAGACACATAGGCCCAAGAAAGAAAATAGTTGGCTCCCACGCGACGGCCTTAGAAAGGTCTCCTGCCCAGGATGACCTCTTCCCTGGATGTTGTAATTAGTCTCAAGAGTTCTAGAGGACTCTTGAAATATTCCATGGGTATGGTCAGTATGTCTCAAACTTTCCTCTTACCAAAGGCTCCTTTCTGCCTAGACATAAGGTGCATTTACTACAGTTTCACAAGGTTTCAAAAGTCTTGCATCATTTTTGGGAAATTTGGTCTCTCCTAGGTAGTCATGTAAATGCATCAAGGGATAAAGCAAATTTGAGAAAGGCAGGAAACATAAGCAGGACCACTAGAGGGCACCCTATCTCCTTCTATAGCCAAGTCCTTTCTTTCCTATTGAAGCAGTTTTCTCAGAAGAGAAGTCCATGAAGTCAGTGTTCTCAAGTGACCTTGCTCCAGCAGTAGGGTCTTCCATTAGCTTCTCTGACTTCTTAGAGTGACATTCCCACCGGTCCATTGATATGCTCTTCCCTCTAAGGCAGTGGCTCTCATGTTCCTAATGATGCAACCCTTTAATACAGTTCCTCAGGTTGTGGTGACCCCAACTGTAAGATTATTTCATTGCTACTTCATAAGTGTAATTTGCTACTGTTACAAACTTCAGTGTAAGTATCCGATGTGCAGGATATCTGACATGTGACCCCCAAAGGGGTTGCAAACCACGGGTTGAGAAACATGGCTCTAAGGTGATGATCCCAGTGTTCCTAGGAATCTCATTGCACAGTTGAAGCTTAACAAATGTCTGCATTATGAGCCTCAGTGTAAGGGACTTTCCCATCCCAAATGCTATCAAAGGTGCATGTAATCAATACTCCAATTTACTAAAGAATAAAAATGGCTCAACGATTAGGAGTGTTTCCTATTTTTCCAAAGGACCCATGTTCAGTTTTCAGCACTCACGTTGGGTTAGCTGTAACTCCAGCTCCAGGAGGTCCAACACCCTGCCTTCTTTTGGCCTCTTTCGGCACGCGCACTCACATGCACATGCACACACAGATGTACCTAAATAATAAATAAATCTTTGAAGTTGGAGAGATGGTTCAGCTGTTAAGAGCACTTGCTGCTCTTCCAGAGGATTCAGGTTTGGATCCCAGTAGCCACATGGTGGTTTACAACTATATAACTTCATGGGATCTGACACTCTTTTCTGGCCTCCACAGGTACATGCACATGGTACACATACATGCATGCAGGCAAAATATCTACACACATACAAAAAATCTTATGAAAAAGGAATAAAGAGGTGCAGAAACAAGGCAGAGGTTAAGGGCCCTACCCCCAAAGTGATCAGAAGTTCATACCTCTCTGGGCAAGGAGCCACCTGGGTACTTCCGGTGGGGCCTCTAGCATTTCTTTGTCACAAGTCTAAATATTGTAACTCGCTTTTCATTTTATCATAGCTCTCTAGGCTACCGAGAACAGAAGCTCCACTTGAGGAATGCCTAGCAGCCGGCGATGTCCTGCTTATGGTCTTCCTTGGAGGTCTCTCCATTTTGTCACTTACTGCAGTGAGTCCCAGGCTCCAGCAGGGGACTGGGAGTCTTCAGTTCAGATTGCTCTGTCCAAACTTAGACTAATCAAAATCAAATAAACTAGGATTTCAGATCCAAATTTGCACTAGTTATCCTTCAAGGGTTCAGTCATCACACAGACTGCTGACAGACCACGTGGCATAGGACACATCTACCATAGAAACTGACTTCCTTTCTGTAACAACGAAACTAAAAACACTTCTAAGATGCTGGTTCTAAAGACTTAGTTCTATGGTCTAATCACAACACACAAACCTTCAGGACCACCCTCGTGACCAGCAACAAGTGCCAACAAACCAGCCATTCCTGGCTTACTTGTAAATGGTGGTTGCTATTCCCTCAGGGATATTCAACCATGAATTTGTCCTCCACAGCTCTGCCACTCACAAGTGCCCTGTGCTAACCTCTTCTCCCACAAACAGTAGGAAATGTGAAAAGTCTTGGGTCCTAAAAGTGATATCCCAATAGTTCTGGCTTGAGAATGCCAGGTTTCTAGAGAAGGTTAGCACAAAGTGACTTCTGAAGTAAGACTTCCCTTACGTTCTTTTCTCAATTCTATTTTAGATATTCAAGTATTCCAGAGGAATGCAAGGCAAAGGCAATTGGGCACTCATTCTTGAGAAGTTTAGATCTTTGATTCAAAGGAATTTAAGGACCTTGGGACAATTATACTACAGATATAAATAGTAAAAGTTTTTTTTTTTGTAAAGTGCTCCCAAATGAACTAGTTCCTTGAATTCAGTTGAAAATCTTTTGTTTTACACAGAACTTTTCTTTGCAGTGCTATGACTAAAGAACCACACATCCCAAATACACGCATCCAATCTCCCTACATTCACCCATGCATGTTCCTATAGATGTTCATGCACAATCACAGAGGGTTCTCACTGGGGAAAATAAATGACTTCTGAGAAGAATATAGCAAAGCTGGACAAATCTCAGGTCATTCTAACAATGCCCGGTAAGTGCAAATCTCGGTCTTTTGCAAGAACAAGAAGTGCTCTTTAACTGCTGAGGCATCTTTCCAGCCCCCAAAGAGTTCTTTCAGGAGAGGTGCTTCAACTATCTCCCTCTGGGTATTTGGAGAAGCCTATGCATCTATTCACTGTTCACTGCATTAATGAGGAAGTGAGGAAAACCCATTAGTTGTACATGGAAGCCTCTGGCATACCTGTCTTAGAGCAAAATTGATGATTAGCTTCTAGATTCTGGTCCTACTCCCAGGGTAATTTCCCAGAGAAGTTAGCAATACTAGCACATGGGAACTAATAGCCAGACCACATTAAGATCATGTCTACTACATGGGGAAGGTCCAGGAGGGCAAGTCCAGGCAGGTTCTAGACAAGACAAGTCAGATAGATGGGCACTACCTGCAAGGGGCCTGTGGGGGCTGAGTGCAGGGCTGTATCTGGCCCTCCAGCACAGCCAGACAGCTAAAATTGGCCTGGACCACACTGGTCAGGGGATGACCAGAAACCCGAGATTCTAGCTCTGAATTCACCAGCTATTTTGGCTCTGGTTTCTATGTTCTCATTTATAAACTGAGTCCCTAGGGCTGCTGTGAGACATCTGTGGTACATGTTGGACATTTGCACAGAGCCTAGTCCATAGCGTGGACTTTGTGTTGGCCTAGACCCAAAATGTTTCAAAGATATGAGTGACCAGTAAACAAGGTAATTTTAATGCACAAAGTCCACCATCGTCAGTGGACAAAAATCAAATCTACTTACTGCCCCTCTTTAGGAAATGGACACCTATCAGCTTTAACAGCAGGATACGTGCCAAGCCAAGAAAAAAGGAGCACGAAGCATCTGAATTGTGCTTCATCTTTGACTCTCAAATTAAGTGGGCGGGCTTGTCAAAACTGTCATGAGGATTCTGCCTGTAGGATAGAGAGGGGGGCAGGTCACTCACTAGCTGAAGGCTTTTAAGTATTTGACGGAAACACAGATCACACATCACAGAGAAGCAGAGGAAGACCTTGAACGAGCACACTTTACTCTGGAACAAAGCTACTGGGGTTTCCCTATTGGTGAGTCATTTGCTTTTGTTGGTTGTCTCAGATTCCTACCTTCAGCATGACTTGTATAGAGGGTGCAAGCTACTGAATTCGGCTACACACGAAGCCCTAGAATTACAGACTTTCACTTATTTCTCAGTGAAGGTCTACAGCTTTAATAAGATTCTCAAAGAGGTTTGTGATTACAAAGGTTTGGAAGCCAGGTGTGGCAGCAATCCCAGCACTTGGGAGGTAGAAGCAGGAAGTTCAAGGCTGCCATCTATTTGTTGTAACCATAAGAGTTCATACTTTTTTTTTTTTTGCATGTTTTTCTCGTATTGTCCTGTTTTCAGTGATATACTGAAATTTCAAAAATAATTAAAAGTGCTTCTTAAATATTTGAGTTAATATATAATGGTTTATTATAAGGCTTTTACATTATGTCCAAAGTTTTATTACTTTTTCATTTTCATAAATCAACATTTGATTATAGATGAAATATTCTTAACTTTTTATATAAGGGGCAGTGATTTTGTGTGTGCGCATGCATACTTGTGCATTTATGGGTCCATGTGCATGTGTATGCAAATGTCTTTCCTCAGGACCCGTTCACCTTTTTGTTGGGACAAAGTCTCTCACTGGCCTGGAACTCACCTCATAGGCTAGTAAGATTGTTGTGGCCAGTGGAATTAATTCAGGTTCTCATGGTTGCAAAGCAAGCACTCTACTGACAGCTGTCTATCTCCCCAGTCCAGTGATCTTCATTCAATACTCAATTTGTATGGTCAAGTCCCTATCTGCCAGCATAACACTGAATATGGGTCTGTACATTTCCTGAAGAGTCATGCGAGGGTTGGATCCAGAAAAAATAGGACAACAAAATGGCAAATATAAGTCAGAGAGCAACAGAGAACTAGATGACACTCTTAGGAAAGCAAAGCTGTTAATTTTTCATATTTTAAATGATGAAAAACAAATTGTCCCCATGTGAACCAATAACATAGGCAACAGTATCGGACCTTATGTTAGCACCTCAGAAAGCTGTGGGACAGGAGGCCCAACTTCAGCCCATCAAGACTGGATATCTTGGATATCTAGCCTCAAGGTCTAGGCATGGGGCTGAGTGGCTTTACTGAGGTGAGAAAAGGCATCATGCCTCTAGGGAACGTAGGGGCTGCAGAACCATCAGAGTGGACATTGTTTCCTCCTAGGACTCAACTTCAGGGCAAGAAATGTTCACGTGGATTAAAAAGGGAGGATGTTGTCAACTTTCACATACCCTCTTCTGGACTAGGGAATAGTCTACCCAAACACTTGCTCATCTTAAGGCATCTTCTAGAACCTACACTAGTGGGATATGCATCCAGGACACTGGCAAGGTTAGCCTGGCTCCTGCAGTCAGGCTACGGGTTGCATTACCCTGTATCCTACCTGTCCTTGGTAAAGTGAGAGAACAGGGCAGAACAGGGTCAGAGACATGGCAGTCAAGGAGGAGGAAGTCTGTGGTCATTGCTGCAAACCTATTCAGCAGCCACCTACTTCATGTACCACTCCAGTTCTCCAGGATCTGAGGCTCCAGCACAGATGCTATAGACTGACAGAGATGATAAATGGGAAAGTTTGGTCTGGAGAGTCAGGACCACACCTCAATTCCCCGGTCAGTCAAAGTTCTGGGCACCTACGGGTTTTCTCTCCCTTGTTTCCTCATCAATTGCCCTTCACACTATACAGCTCAAGATGAGTAAACAGGAAGAACTCCCCAGTCAGACATAGTTCTTGCCATTCTCCAAACTCCTGAGGATATCAGTAAGGAAGCCTCCTAGAAGGATTTGATTTGGCTTTCATGATTTTTAACACCAAGTGGGCCTATATTAGTTAGGGTTTCTGTTGCCGTGATAAAACATCATGACCAAAAGCAACTTGGGGAGAACACGTCCTGATAGCAGTACATCAGGGCAGGAACTGAGAGCAGGAACCTAGAGGCAGAAACTGAAGCAGAGACCATGGAGGAGTGCTGCTTACTGGCTTGTTCCTTCCTAGCTTGCCTGTCCTGTTTTCTTATAGCACAGAGAACCACCAGCCTAGAGGTGTCCCCACTCGCAATGGGCTGGACCCTCACACCTCAATCACTCATTAAGAAAATCCATTACAGCCAGGCAGTGGTGGTGCATGCCTTTAATCCCAGCACTTGGGAGGCAGAGGCAGGTGGATCTCAGTGAGTTCAAGACCAGCCTGGTCTGCAAAGCAAGTTTCAGGACAGACAAGACGGTTATACAAAGAAACCCTGTCTTAAAAAGACAAAAAAAAAAAAAAAAAAAAGGTTTAAAACAATGAAAATGTACTACAGACCTTCCCACAGGCCAATCTTCTCATTTTCTCAAGTGAGAGTCCTTCGCAGATCTATCTTGTGTCAAACTGACATAAAACTGATCAGCACAGGGCAGAGAGTGGTAGGCACCTGCTATGAGACCGAAGCAGACGGAGGCAGGCCTCCCTGATAGAGAGCAGTCCAGAGAGATAGCTCAGCAGCTAAGAGCACCAGACAGTCTCCAGAGGATCTGCGCTTGGTGCTCTGCTCACAACCGTTTGTGACTCCAGTCCCAGGCACTCTAATGTCTTCTGGCCTTGGCGAGCACTACACACACAGAGCTTACAGGCAGACTTGTAGGCAAAACATTGATGCACATGAAATACATAAACACAGAAAACAAAACAAAATAAAACAAAAAACCAAAGGGCTACTATGTCCACTTGATTGTATGGTATCTTTTTTTTTTCTCTTAAACAATTGAGCCTAGTGTTTTATGGGACATGCATGGGAGGAGTCTGAGATTTTTAGGGTTAATGAAGATTCCCTCATACTGGGCGAGCAGTTTCCCCTGGGAAATGCTGTTACCGAGCATAACGAGTGGGTTAAAGATGACAATCTGTTTCCTAAATGCAGTCAGTAATTAATAAGGACAGTGGGAAGAAAGAGTGTGATTCACCTGGACAGAACCAAACATAACTCTTGGGTTTTGACTCACAGATTCTGCCACAACAGACACCATGGATGACGATATAGATCCCTGGCTCTTGAACATTTCCAGTGATGACAGCGAGGAGCATGAGCGTTTCCTAAAGTTCAAGGGAGTCTTTCTGCCCTGCATGTACCTGACGGTGTTTGTCTTTGGACTGGTAGGGAACTCCCTGGTTCTGGTTATATACATTTTCTATCAGAAGCTGAGGAGTCTGACAGATGTGTTCCTGGTGAACTTGCCCGTGGCTGACCTGGTATTTGTCTGTACTCTGCCCTTTTGGGCCTATGCAGGCACCTATGAGTGGGTCTTTGGCACGGTCATGTGCAAAACTCTTCATGGCATGTACACAGTGAACTTCTACGTGTCCATGCTCACTCTCACCTGCATCACGGTGGATCGTTTCATTGTAGTGGTCCAGGCTACCAAAGTCTTTAACCAGCAGGCTAAGTGGAAGATCTGGGGCCAGATCACTTGCTTGCTCACTTGGGTGGTCTCCCTGTTGGTCTCTCTGCCACAGATCATCTATGCCAGAGTTGAACGTTTGGACATACACGTCTGTCAGTATCACAGTGAGGCCATTTCCACTGTGGTTCTTACCACGCAGATGACCCTGGGGTTTCTCTTGCCATTGCTCACTATGATTGTGTGCTACTCAAGCATCATCAAGACCTTGCTTCATGCTCGAGGTTTCCAGAAGCACAAATCTCTAAAGATCATCTTTGTTGTAGTGGCTGTGTTCCTGCTGACTCAGACCCCCTTCAACCTTGCCATTTTAATCAGGAGCACAAGCAGGGAGTACTATAACATGATTAGCTTTCAGTATGCCATCATAGTGACAGAGGCTATAGCATACCTTCGGGCCTGCCTTAACCCTGTGCTCTATGCCTTTGTTGGTTTAAAGTTCCGGAAGAACCTCTGGAAACTTGCGAAGGACATTGGCTGCTTTCCTTCCTTGGGAGTCTCAAGTCAGTGGAAGTCTTCTGAGGACAGTTCCAAGACTTGTTCTGCCTCCCACAATGCAGAGACCACCAGCATGTTTCAGTTGTAGTAGGCCTGGACAGACTTGGAGAAGCTAGCATCAGAATTCTTAGGAGCATGGCTATGTCCATTGGATGCAACAAGAAAGGATTTGCTTACAGAATGTGGACTCTCGTGGAAATGTCACTGAAAACTGTGGTGGTATACAAAGCTTCTTAGATATAAACATACCCTGTTCTTAATATCTATACCTCAATGCTCAGAGGAGAATGTCTTGAGATTTGTAAGCACTTTCTCTTTTCCATCCCCAAGAATGCTAACTCTAGAGATCTCAGGTTCCCTTTTACCCAGTCTTGGGCTAAAAGTTGAAGAGGAACTGCATCAACAAAGCTGTTGATGGCAGGTAACATGCAGGGCTCCTGAGTTCACAAGATTCTTCTATGGCAAGTGGTGGAGAGCTGAGAATCCTCCCACACAAGTGCTGGTCTATGTGGCTCGGACCCGTCACCAGGCACCTGATAGGGATGAACCAAGCTGATTCACCCAGGGGTCTGATTTTTGTATTTACTGGTGGATGCTCATATTTTCTCAGATTAGTCTTTGAAAGTGCAGCATGAGAGACTGAAAATGGGCCAGAATAAACAGCTGGATTTCAGTGGTCCACATAATACTAGAAAAATGTGTAAAAAGGAGCCTACAACTATAACAACTCTAAGCAAATTACAGGGACTCTGGTGGCTTTGCTTATCTTAAAAAAAAAAACAAAAACAAAAACAAAAAATGGAACTTTCCAATGCCTGCCACACAAATATATCAAATATTATGAGTTTCATAGCTAAGAAATAAAACCTTTTACAAGTTTTCAAACTGCTTTCATCTTCTACATTATACTTTAATTTGGTATACCTGGAACACAAAACAAACTCTCACAAATTGCACAAAAACAACCCAGTTAACTTCTAGGCTTAGAATAAAGGAAATAAGTTAAAATTATTTGGGGGCAGTGGTATATGAAGGAAATAGACTATACCAATGGGAACAATCTTGCTTTCACAGTGGCTTCCTGCTCCTGCCCAAGATGTGGGGTGTATTTGTTCAACTCTGTAATACTGCTCCAGGATGAGGTAATTTTACATGCCAGGCTGGACTGACAGTCAGGTGAACAGCCCTGTAGGTGCTTGCTGGGTGTTTGTACCACTAAATCATTACCTAAATATGGACATCTACTTAAAAAGGCTGACCAGAATGATGGGAGGTTAGCTAACCCTGGGCTCAGGGGCTGGAGAGAGCAGGCTGCCTTTCTGCCCTTTTACCAGGTGAGACCGGGAGCAAATCAATCTCAGCCTCTATTAACATGCTTGCGCTCGCACTATAGGTTCCCTCCCTTTTCTCCTTCCCTCCTTCGTTACTATATTGCTGTGTAGACCAGCCTGGCCCTGAACTCACAGAAATATGCCTGCCTCTGACTCTCAAGTGCTGGGTTAAAGACACAGTCCAGCATACCTGACCTGAATAAATCTCTTAACCTCTGGCCATTTCTTTTTAATGAGACAGCACAAGTCTCTCCGTTGATATGAAGAGGACTTGAGATAACACATTTGAAACAGCTGGCACAATAGACTGGGGAGGAATCTCAGTTGGTAGATGCTGGCCCAGTGTGCATGGAGTCCTGGGTTTGGACCTAGCACCACATTCAAATCGGGCATGGTGAAACACACCTACAAACCCAGTGCTTGGGAGGTCAAGGAAGGAGTATCTAAAGTTTAAGGTTATTCTCATCTAGAGAAAGTTTGAAGTCAACTTAGGCTACATGAGACCCAGTCAAAACCAAATCAAATTAAATCACTCCACAGCGCAATCTATTTGTAGGTGAAAGGTCCCCAAATTAGCAGCAGTCATTTCTTAGAAGATCTAGTAGCGGCTCCTTATGCCATCCATACGGGTGGGTGTAGTCACATAGGCTGTTGTGTACTTTCTCCTGGACATGCAGGGCATGCCACATAAATCCTGGCTCATCAAAATGTGACCACACCTTGGAGTACCCATATGGTCTTTTGAAACGTTTTATCAAACACACACATAAGGACTATAGTACACTTCCTTGCTATGTAAAGTGACATGCAAGATCAAGTGCTTAAACAACTAGCCTGTTCTATGCAGGGTGATAAGGCTAACCTTAAGTGATTCTTCTTTATTTGCAACACTGCTGATGGACGGGGCCCGAGTCCCTGATTTCCCTAATATTCCAGCTCAGGAGATATAGGCTCTAAATGGGAAGCAAGTTGACTCAGGTGAAAAGGCCCTGTAGCTACCTACACAGGTATTCTGGAGAGAGGCAGGATTGGGTACTTAGCACTCAGAGATAGTGCCACCCTAGGTTAATCCCAGAAAGCATCTTCAAGGCACGGCTCATCATCTCACAGTGCCAGGTGACAAAGCTCCCTGGGCCTTCCCTGACCAACTGTCTGCCCAAATGAGATGGAAGAACCTGACGGATCATGCCCTCTTCTAGGTTCCCCACAGAAAAGTTTATACTTGGACCTTTCTTCTCATGCCCCCCAAGCCACTATTTGCCCCATTTTCTGGGCATCTACCTATTCCACTTGGGGCATGATTCTATCTCTTTCTGTATCTATACCATCATTAGCAATAAATACACACACACACGACCCCAGCATGTGTTAGTTAAAGAGAGCTTGTGTCTGACCTGCACTATGACCCAGGAGGGCTGTTGCTGCAGGCTCCCTTAGAGGTGTTAGAAGTCTCAAGTTCTCAGTGATCTCTTTTTCTCACCTCTGGCTCCCATTCTTGCTCAATAGCAGCAGATCCTATCAAAGGCCAGGGGGCTACAGTGGAGTTGGGGGAAGAGCTGGATGAACATGGACCCGGTTTGAATCCAGACTGTCCTAGATATGCTTCAGAGCCTCAGAGCTAAGACTGTGTGCTCCCCTCCCACTGCGTTCCTCATTTCTGAGGATCATGGACGAGCTTACGGGCTCTGGCTTCAGTTAGACATATGAAGGCCATGGCTATGTCTCCAGAGAGGTGAATGCGTGTGACTCTCTTCTAGAGGCCATCTGGTCACCCGGGAATTCTTGGTGTCTTGGATGAGGAGATGGTGCCACAAGAAAGCAGAAGTGGGAACCGAGAACCCAGCTCTCGGTTACTCCGGCTTCCATAGAGCCTTCAAAGTAGCACCTAGGCCAGGTGTTCAGTTAGTGCTGTCTTACAGGCAGCTTGGTATTGCCGTCTCCCTTTCTCAGAGGAGAAGTGAGTGAGGACTGGTCCTTGTTAGCAGCTTCTCTTCCCCCAAACACTGGCCACAGAGCTTTCAGGCAGGTGTGATACCACAGAGAACCTGCCTGCCCTGGAATCCTCTGCAGTCAGACGTCCTTGGTTAATACAGGCATAAGGTGGCTTTTGAACTTTAACCATGATCACCATATCCTGTCCTTGTTTCGTTTCTGTGACAGCAGGCATCAGATCTCTTGGTTGGTGACCACACTTCCGCCACTAAACACTCTGACCACAAAGCCCTGGTTCTGAAGCGATTGCTGGCAAGCAGACTCTGAGGGTAGGTTTCAGATCATTTCGTGTAATCTGGGTACCTGAAGGAGGCTTTTTTGTTTTTTTTTTAAATAAAAAAAAAAGATGAGGCTACAAGTTGAAGATACCGAGAAACATGTGAACACAGAAGATACGTACATCCCAGGCTGACATCAAAACTCAGCATCAAACTATCTCCTCAGGAGGTTTCTGGCCCAGGCACTATCTCCAATTGCTTTTCTTGAGGAGGGGTAGATTCTAGGCTCTCCCAAACAGCTAAAGGAGCTCATTTAGAGGCTGCACTGCATGGCCACAGGGCATGGAGCTGAAGCTCTTCACCCTGAACAGCCTGTATATCTCGTACCGAGAGAGGAGGCCAGACTGTGGAGACTTTGGCTGTATGTGAGCTGGGCAGAGGCCACGGGAGCCAACTACCTATCACCTCAGTTCTGAGAACAACTGGAAATCTGGGTAGTGGTGTATAGGACACAGAGGGAGAAAGGTTGTGAAGGGCATCTATCTCCTACAGGTGAGGGCTGTGTTCCTGCTAATTATCACCAATCAAGATAAGATAGGAATGGGGGAAAGGCAGCTGACAACAGGTTTCCCTGTGAGAGTGAAGCTGGATCTGGAGACTTTTCCTTGTTCTGAAATTTCCAGGAAGGGTCAAAGCTTAATTCCTCTTTCATTACTTTGTTCCTCAGATTGAGTACCTTTCCCTCTAACTTTCCCGTGAGGGGTCCTGGTGCAAGTGTAGGGCTTTCTTTCCCATACTTTATCAGACTCTTGGTATCTTGGAATGCTAAGGAAAAGCTACCATACATGCTAACACACACTCTATAGTGTAGATAGGTGACTCTTCATTCACACGGGCGAGATACAAGAACCACTGGTTTCCATCAGTCAATCCCAGATCTGTGTTGGTGGCTGCAGGCCAACATACTGGCAGTTTTCTTTCTCTGGAACAGTTCCTGATTTCCCAAGACCAAAAACTACACATACTGGTCAGCAGTCTAGAAGCTTTTTGTTTCTGTTCCTACCAGGAAAGAGGAAGGTGAAAGATGAGGGAGGAAGCTTTATGCAGGTTACAGGTGTTTGTGCCAAGACGCTTTCAAATCCATGGCATCCTTCTGGGTTCCTAGCTCCTGGTCTACTCACCCTTCTGGGTTCCTAGCTCCTGGTCTACTCACCCTTCTGGGTTCCTAACTCCTGGTCTACTCACCCTTCTGGCCATGCAGCTTTCCAAGTACCAAGGACAGAATATAGTTTATTGCTAAAGGAAGAAAAGACATTTTGGGGACCACTGGGTCATGGGGGTCAGGGTGAACATTGATGATTACTGACCAGTATGTCAGAGAAATGTTTAAGGAAGGAGAGAATTGGTCCAGAGTCACAGGAGCAATCTTAGGTCTGACAATGAGAGGGGTTTGTCCATGAGCTGAATTCAGTGACTTTAGTAAGAGAACACACCAGTGTAGAGATACACTTAAGCCTAAAATCTAGGCTAACAGCCTCATGAAGATTTGAGTTCACCCCTCCCATGAGGCAGAAATTAACACAATAAAGATAACAGTTAATTCCTGGTTCTGTTTTAGATTCTGAGCAGGAGACAGAGATCTCACTGTGAGTCAGCATAAGCTCACAGAAATCCTTCACCAGAAGAAAAGGTGACCAAGCAATTTTGAGACTGTATTTGCTACTTTTCTCATTGCTATTACAAAATATCTGACAGGAACAACTTAAGAAAGGATTTATTTTGACTCAGAGAGTATTAGTCCATCATAGCAGGGAAGGCATGGCAGAGCAGCTCCATTTAGACTTATTTATATGACATTGGGCTTGGAAGCAGAGAACTCATGCTGGAACCAGGGGTAGGTAAAACTTTCACAGGCTGGTCCTCAGTAATTTCTCTGACTTATACTTCCATCAGTCAGGCTATACCTTCTAAATGATCCATAGCCTTCAAAATAGTGCCACAAGTCTAGGATCAAACATTCCAAACAAACTTGCCAGGGACATAGGATTCAAAACATAACATTTAGTCCTTGACCCCTTTGGGTCAAGATGTCTCATTGCCATCTCACAATACAAAATCTACTTAGTTCAGCTTCAAAGTTCAAAGTCCCTTTTGAGAACTAAAGGTATGCTCAATTGTGAGACCCTGTAAAATCAAAATTTAAATTATATACTTCATATAAACATTCTCATTCTAAAAAGGCAGTATCAGGGTAGAACAAAGAAAGACATGACAACAGTGAAAACGTTAAAATCCGAGTTTCATGTCCGGCATGAGGAACACAGTCGATATTAGCCCTACCTGTATGGGCCTTCTTGCCAGTTACACATACAGGGTCTCTTTTGGACTGGTTCTACTAGATGCCTGTAGCTTTCCTTGGTAAATGTTCTACATTCCTGGTATCTCCAATATATTGGGCTCTCCACTGTACTTTAGGCTTTACCCTCAAATTTTTATGCATATCCCACTAATGGACTACCAGAGAATCTGACCCTACTACATATTGCTTGGCCTCCCAGGCTGTTCTCTAGAATCTTGGTACAAACCTCCATGACCTGCAACTCTCACATCTGCAATGCCTACAAAGACTGTAGATAATGTCAAATTCTGCTGCCAGCTTGATAAGTACCAAGTATTATCTTATCCAAGGTAAGTATTCTTGGATCACAGCTGAAGTAATGGAGTGTCTGTGTAGCTAAACCTGGAAAAATACTTTCTAGGTGATTATTTCAGAGAAGACCATTCCTGTGGCTCTATCTTTTCAGACACTCTCTTTTTAAAGGAAAGTAAAATGCATTTAGATTTTCATATCCTGAAGCCTTTAATGAGAGGGCTCTTTTCCCTAGAGTCCCTTTCCCCCTACTGTACCAACACAAAGCAGCTATAAATGGTATTAATCTTGAACAGTTTTAACTACTTTGTCCACAGTTACTGTGGTCTCTTGCTATGGCAGCCTGAGCTGACTGATACAGTTGCCTAAGCCAAAGATTGGCTTTAGTGAAGATGTTGAATCAGGGCACCTCACACACACTTCCCAGGAACTTTCTGATACAGTACCTTCCTGAATGTTTCCTAAGCATTGTCACTTTTTAAGAGCCACCTGACTCTGAACACCATTCTGAGGCATCTTCCCTTGGTAGAGACAGTTGATCCTGACTCTAGCATCTTATTTTCCTGGTCTTTTGATGAGGAAGTACAAAGGACAGGCACTTGATGAGTAGTTAGGAAATGGAGGCAACATCTACTCACTGTTCAGCCATATTTGGGTCCAATGAATCAGTTTCAGTGGGTGTTTCAGGCAAGGAGGAGCCAGATTCTTGAATCTGGCACAATTCCTCATCAGTGATGATGTCAAACACAGCATCGTCTGGTGGTCTGCAGACTGAGTTTGCTCCTGGGTGTGGAGGCAAAGCAGGAGAGAAAAAGACAAACATACCATTAGGCATAAGACTAGGGATAACATAGGGAGGTGAAGGGTGCTGCTATGGGGAACAAGATGAATACATTTTAAATGGTCTCTTAACTGATGCTATTCTATCTAGATATGAGAGAAAGACTACTGGAACATTCCAGGAAAACAGAGGGACTATAGAAGATTTTGAATATATAGCCTCAAGACCTCTTTCAAAGGCAGAGTAGAAGTTTCAAGGACTACCACATTCTCTAGAATCCTTATTTAGAAGGAAAAAAAATCTACCAAAACTATATCAGATAAGAAACTAACAAAGAAAATATACTGATCCAGTGAGGCCTTGTTCCATTAAACACAGTCAGAAATAATCCAAAACAGGAGATTACTTGACTCATACCCCCTCTTCTGGTCCACTGTTGGGCAGAACAGAACCTCTCTTTGTTCAGAAAACTGCAGGAGGCATTGAGTCTTGTGTTTGATCTTGACCACTCAACTGGCAGGTAACTGTGCCAGTCACCTACCCATAAACATGTTTCATATTTAATATAAGGGTAGGTCTGAGACAGAAAAAAAAAGAGCAGACAGAAAATGAGAGAAATCAAAACAAGCAACCTCAGCACAAAACACTGTTATCACTTTGTGTGCTGAACACCTACGACTGAGATAGAGCAAGGGAATCTGGCTACTTAGTAAGAACAGTTTAGCTGTCCTCGGCTTTAGAGGTAATGTTTTTCCTCTCAAGTTTCTGCAACATAGAACTAGAAGAACAAACTGATAAAAAGGACCCAGTTACACTCCTAAATCTGTTTTCTGAGGCTGATAAAGAGATGGTAAGAGATACACAAAAGAATGTTTACCAGAGTAAATGGAAGCCATATCATGTTCATGGATTAAAATGGACAACACTTTATTAAGATGCCAAATCTCAGACAGAGCCGGGTGGTGGTGGCGCACGCCTTTAATCCCAGCACTCGGGAGGCAGAGGCAGGCGGATCTCTGTGAGTTCGAGACCAGCCTGGTCTACAAGAGCTAGTGCCAGGACAGGCTCCAAAGCCACAGAGAAACCCTGTCTCAAAAAAAAACCAAAAAAAAAAAATCTCAGACAGGTAGTGGTGGTGCACACCTTTAATCGCAGCACTTGGGAAGCAGAGGCAGGTGGATCTCTGTGAATTTGAGGCCAGCTTGGTCTACAGAGCGAGTGCCAGGATAGGCTCCAAAGCTAAACAGAGAAACCCAGTCTCGAAAAACAAAAAAACAAAAACCAACCAACCAACCAAAAGAAAAATAGATATTAAATCTCTCCAAACTGCTCTCCAAGTCCAATGAAATCCCAATGAAAACCTCATCATGGTTTATTTTTAGAAACTGAGAAACTCATTATAGAATTTATATGTTTGATGAAGAACAAAATTGGAGGGCTTTCTTTGCCTGTCAGCCAGATGCATTAAGAATCTATTGTAAACAGCTAGACATGATAGCATACACCTTTCATCCCAGTACTCAGGAGGCAGAGGCAAACTCATCTCTGTGAGGTCAAAGCCAGCTTGGTCTACAAAGTGAGTTCCAAGATAGCCAGAACTGTTTCATAGAGAACCCTGTCTCAAAAAACCAAAACCAAACAAACAACCTACCCCCACCCCACAACCCAACAACAACAAAAGATTCTACAGTAAGCAGCTGTACATGGTGGTACATGTCTTTAATTCCAGTACTTCGGAGGCAGAGGCAGGTGGATTTCTGTGAGTTTGAAGCCACTTGGTCTACATAACGGGTTCCAGGACAACCAGGGCTACATAGAGAAGTCAAATCTGTCTCAAACAACCAAAAATACCAAAAAACAAACACCACCACCAAAAAACATAGAATCTATGGTAATCACACAGTAAGAATTGGTGAAAAGAAAAGGCACACAGATAAACAGAATGGAGCAAAGATACAGACTCAAATATATGAGGTCAGTTTTTCTTTTTTTAGTTTGCTTGCTATTTTCAATTGGCTTTTTACATATATACAAAAGCAGTGTGTGTGTGTGTGTGTGTGTGTGTGTGTGCACCCAAATGTGCCACTGGGAATTCAATCTAGTGCCTTTCACATGCAAAGCAATCACTCTATCATTGAGCCACACCTCCACCCCACACAGAAAGGCAATTCTGATGAAAACAAAATAGACTTCAACTAATGATGTTGCAACTCTAAACAAGAAGTAAAAACTAAACTATCCAATACTCTATATTATCACTTTACCCCCCAAACTAACTCAAAACAGGTTACACAGGCACACACACTATCCTAAAAAAAAATAATAAAAACTAGAAGAAGTCAGATGTGGTGGCACACACCTTTAACATGTCTTATAAATGTTTCCTCCCGATTTACAGCTTTTCTTTTTGAAGAGCAGAAGTTGTAGTTTTGATAAAGTAATATTTATATCACATTCTATGTGTCAGTTTTTTTATGTATCTAACTTTGCTAACACCTGTACTCAAAAGGTTTTTTTTCTTCTAAAAGTTTTGGGTTGGGTTTTTTGGGGGTTGGTTGTGTGAGTGGTTTGTTTGTGACAGTAACTCACTTTGTAGACAAGCTGTCCTGTTACTCTGCGTAGACTGGGACTCAAACTCAGAAATCTGCCTGCCTCCAATACCTGAGTGTGTTGATGGAGGAAGGTCATTGGTTAAAAAAATAAAGAATACATATCCAGACTATGTAGGACTTGCAAACTTCAGTACTGAAGAGACTGAGAAAGATTTGAAGACCCCAATGCTATGTGTAAAAAAGCACAAATCCCATTCCTGAGTGGTAGGGCCCATTGATCTATTTAAAGAAGGAAGAACAGGATTCTGAAGGTTTCTTAGCCTGCATCCAGGCTGAGATCAAAGGAGAGTTCACAAGGTCTAACTGTAGCCAGCAGTGATGCCTGAACAGAGAAAAGTCCCATCTCTGCCATCTCTGCTCTAATCCTTGGCTCTACACCTACAGTGTAGTAGTGTCCAGTAGAGAGCCTGGGTCACCTATTAGGGTGGATGCAGAAGTAGAAGTAATTAAACCCTCCGCCTGTTTCCTGGCTGAGTTGGAGGATGAGAAAGTGAGAAAGATGCTGAGTACTGAAGGTACAACTGCTGGTTTTATGTTACCACTGGGCAGATAATGGATATCAGAAAGGAGGTCCTGGAGGACTGACTCTTTGAGGTACGGGGTATATTCCACTGGTAGTATGTGGATATACACATTCATATTAAATCACAATCACGACAGGAGAAAGTTACTTGCTTATCAACCCCAAAAATATAAGAAAGTTTTAGGCTGGCGGTAGTATATATTTAGCAACTCTTAGACACCTAAGTTTGGGAAGCATTGAATGAATGAGTCTTGCTCAAGCTAATTGGCCATAGTGAGAAAGCAGTGACAACTACGAATCCGAAAGGCAGGGGCCTGACCTTGGTTTCCTATGGCCTGGGGGCCTGCTTTAGCTGGTGAAACCATGGGGCTCGGCTCTCCCTGGCTAGTGCTAGAGCCTCTGCTATCAGGGGATCCAGGGCTTTCACTGAACTTCTGGAAGCAGGCTCGGCAGCAGCGTTCCTTCTTGCCACTGGGCTTAGTCATAACATAGTTGTTACAGCAGTAGTAACAAAAGACATGGCCACATATCCTGGGAATGAAACAAGAACAGGCTTTGAGAATGGTGTACAATAGATTGTGCATCATTGAGATCTGCTAAGCACCAGAACAGGTCTCTGTGTTGGGTTCCTGATAGCCCATGACTCTCCAGACCTAGCTCTGTCCTTAATGTAGAGTGTGCTGTGAGCCCATTTCATAAGAGTTCAACAAAACCATCATGGTGAGCTTAGCAGAGAATGATTTACTTCTGTAGGTCCTCGAGGCAGGGAGAAAATGTCTGACTAACATCAGGCTACAGGTGTGCATTCCACATTTACTGTCAGGATTTTAGGTAAGCCTCTAAGAGAGCACTCACCTGCACCCAACTCCCAATCTGCCTTTCTCTTCACCCATCTTTCCTAGGTGCTGGAAGGATCTGTGTTCTCTGTTACGATCTACATCCCCCATAGGCTCAAGAAAAGCTAAAGGGTTGGTGTTCTGAGTGTACCACATGCCCGTGAGTCCCCTTAACCCCACCCACATTTCCTTTCAGGGGGCCTTCAGTGTCCAGCTAGGACCCCAAATAATACACTCTTCTTCCGCTTCCCTTGGTAGATAGCTAGGTACCCACCCTTGTCTCGGATCCCTCGCCCAGCTTCCACTCTGGTGAGCCGCCTGCTGCTAACCTGCAGTGATGCCGCCGCACTATCCAGCTGAACTCCCGCTTGCAGTCATGGCAGGTGCTGGCTTCCGTGTCCCCAAGACATTTCTCTTCAGCACTGAGCTTTTGCTGGAATTCCAGTGCATCAGACTTTTGCCAGAGAGCATCTTTGTCCCTGCAATAATACCACATTTTAAGAATCCAAGAGGAGCAGAGGATGACCCTGCTTCATTTCAGAAAGCTGATATCAAACGTTCCAAACCATTGAAGCTAAATAACTTTCCTTATAAATGCTCTCTTCTCAGCTCAAGGTTTGTGCTGACATCTCCAAAGGAACCCCAAACATTGATTCTTTGACCCCATGTACGTGAGAGCATGTACGAGGCACATATACCAAAGGCTGCGTCATCCACAAGGGATTGCCAGCACTGATACATCACTGAGAGATCTTACACTAAAAACAAATTACTAATGAAGTAGTGTGCCACCAGGTTGATAGTGGACATGCTATGAACGTGGATGCAATCTGCAGTTTGCTGAATGCATGACTGTGTACCATGTGTGTGCAGTGACCTTGAAGTGTGAAGAGGGCATCTGATCCCCTAGGATTGTAATTAAAGATGGTGCTGAAAATTGAACCCAGGTCCTCTGGAAGTGGGTAAGGGTTAGGAATATAAAGATGACTGACTTTTTTCAAGGATGCCTAAATTGTAAGGAGACAGGTTGACTCATCTTCTGGTCCAGCCTGTTTTTCAAGCTAGTCCACAGCATCTGACCAATATGTCCCTAGGAAGCCAGATACTCACACCCTGGACTGTGAGAATGCTACTTGGTTTCTCTACCACATTCCTCAAGAAGATACCTGGAATTCTAACAAGTGAGTAGATATAGGCATATTCCACAAGTGAAGTGAGTAGATCTCATCTGCCTTGGGTTTTAATACCTGGAATTCTAACAAGTGGGTAGATACAGGCATATTACACTCATGGAAGTGAGTAGATCTCATCTGCCTTGGGTTTTAATACCTGGAATTCTAACAAGTGAGTAGACAGGCATATTCCACAAATGGAAGTGAGTAGATCTCATCTGCCTTGGGTTTTAATACCTGGAATTCTAACAAGTGGGTAGATACAGGCATATTCCACTCATGGAAGTGAGTAGATCTCATCTGCCTTGGGTTTCAATACCTGGAATTCTAACAAGTGGGTAGATACAGGCATATTCCACTCATGGAAGTGAGTAGATCTCATCTGCCTTGGGTTTTATCCAGTGTCTCCCGACACGTCCATTTTTCAAGGCGTAGTTGTGTAAGAGCACTTGTCTTGGAAGCTGGTGTGATAGCACACATTTTTTAATCCCAGAACTCAGGAGGCAGATAGGCAGGGAGATTTCTGCGAGTTTGAGGCCTGACTTATCTACATAGGGAGTCTCAGGTCAGCCAGGCTACATAGTAAGACCCTGTCTCAAAATAAAATACAACCAAATAAAGCAAAAAGATTTATTGTCTTAAAAAGTTTGCTATGGAATATTCATAGATAAAGTACTACTTTGTCTGGGTTTGCTTCAAAGCAATCTAGAGATGGGAAGATGTAAGTGGCCATGGATTGATTCCTGTTGAGGTTGAATGAAGTATAATTATTATGACTTGAGTTTGAAATAGCCCCTTATGTGTTTGATCTCTTGGCCCCCCAAAGATAGTGATGCCATTTAAGGAGGCCATGGAACTTTTGGCGTGAAAGGCATAGCTGGTGGAGGTGGGTCATTGGGAGTCTCTACTTTCTTGTCTGCTAAGACATGGAGTATTACTACTGCCTTAAGCTCCTACTGCTATAGACTGAACCAATCCCACTGCCATGCCTTGTCTGCCAAGACTGACTGAAACTGGACCCCAAGTTCAAAAAAAAAAATCTTTCTTCCCTTAAGTTGCCTTTGTCAAGTGTTTTGTCACAGAAAGGAAGGAAAAAAGGAAGGAAGAGAGGGAGGAAGGAAAACAGTTATAATATTTTATCTTCTATATTTGATTCCTTTAAGAAAAAGTTAAAGTTGTGAGTGACTTGCATGCATTTACCACCAGGACATTTCACATTCCCATGTCTGTCTTGGAAAGTAAAGGCTGGTTTTGAGTGGCAAGAGTGGAACATACTGGGACCCTCAGAGTCCCCTCCAGTTTGGTTCCCACATGGACGCTGCTGCTGGGTCCCGACAGTACAAGAGAAGGTTCACTGGAGATAGGCAAGGGATGGGGAAATGACCAATTACTAAATGTCATTTTACTGTCATTCTTTGCCAGGCACTCAGAGTTTGAACATAAACCCGCATCCACACAAAAACCCAAACCACCGGTGTGATCAGGGAAATCCAGCCTTCAAGAATGCCAAAGCCTAGTGGGATCCTGCAAGCATATGGCTCCCTGACAGCACACCATTGGACAGACCTTGAGGAGGAGGGTCCATTTCCAGAAATGGTTTTTTCCTAAGAAAAGCCAATCATAGACAGGGTCTTCCACTGCCTCACACTCACCTGAGCAGCTCTATCAGCCGTTCCTCAAGGTATTTCTTGGTTCTGTTCAGGTCGTCCAGGTCTGCATGCATCTTCTGGTCATTCCTTTCCCTGTTTGTCACCTCCTGGCAGAGTTTGTTATAATATTCTTGGATTTTTGATGTGGCCTTTTCAAGTTCCTTCTGAGTTCTGGGAGAGGAGAAATGCATTTTCCTGGTTAGCTCTGACATTCAGCTTCCTGGAATATGTGGGTTCTTCTGGCCTTCAATAACAGGTCCTGCTGACCTCTTGGCCTTTCCCTCTCATGGTGAGACATGACCTGTTCACAGGTTATGCATTATCCCAGAATCTGAGATTCCCCCCTAGCTCCCTGTCAAACATGAAGGGGTATTCTGGGATGGCAGAGACATTCCAGGATGTTAACATACTCAGTGAGTGAGACATGGCACTCCTGTAAGGATTTCTAGATAGGACTTGAGGCTGGGAGGAGCCAGATGGGAAAAGCCTTATGGAGTGATGATGGAGGATGAGCAGGGGTGATGAGTCAGGACATGAAGTAAAGGCATGATCTCTCAAAGGTGGTTATGAAGAGGGTCCTTGCTCTCAGGTGTCTTTGGGACTCTGCTTTGAGGAGGGGGCTGGGTCTTTAGCAGGCCTTTTACCGGGTAAGTCCTCCAATCCCCTGAAATTCTGTTCTAGGCCCTGTGGAATCTTAGCATACAACAGAGGGGGCTTGTGGAGCTGGCTGTCTGCCCAATCCCATGCATTCCACATGCAGTTTAACTATCCCCTTAGACGGCAGTTTCTAAGAATGTTACAAACCCCAAGATCCAGCAAAGTGTTTGTAAGAACTCCATTAAACAGAAATTCTATGCAAAGAGTGCATTGTTTGCATGCTTTCCAGCCAAGTATTACACATAGCTATCAGAGCTTATTAAATAGTCAATGTCCAAAAAATGATTTCAGAGTACACAACACAAAACATCAAGGGAGTCTAATCCTAGGAAGATGACCTATGCAATTCTGAGCAGCTAAAACAAATCCTCTGAGATTTTCCATATACCATTCTTATAGCATTTGGCTTTGTTTTTTGAAATAGGGTCTCACTATGTAGCTCTGGCTGGCTTGGAACTTGCTATTTAGACTAGGATGACCTCAAACTCAAAGAAGTTCACCTGTCTTTTGCCTCCCCTCCCCCCCCCCCAATGCTGGGATTAAAAACATTTGCCACAGTAGAGTTGACCCTGTTGATAGGCCTGCAGGTGATTCTCCTCACCACCCCTGAAAGTGTGTGGGTGATCTGGCCCCAACCCTCCCCTGCCATATGGTGAAGTGAGTGAGGAAGAGAAGAATTCCCCTCCCCTGCCATATGGTGGAGTGGGTGAGGAAGAGAAGAACTTCCCCTCTCCTCCCCTTGCCACCTGTGGTGGTGAAGAGTTGGCCCTGGGGTCATGAGAGCAGGAGAACCGGCCCTGCTCCTCGTTCCCTGCTGCACTGGGTGACTAGCTGGGGCAGTGCTGAAGAGCTCACCCTAGTGGTGACAATGAGGGAAACCTGGCAGGCTGACCAACCTTGCTAGCACCTAGTCTCAGAGACAGGGCTATGACTTGGTCCATCCAAACACCCACGTCATTTATGAACTGCTGGAGGGGCTGGATCTACAGTTCCACAAGACAGCAACAGAATATCCAGGAGGAGTTCCACTGTATCTACAGAGTAGTAGAAGCCAGAGGCCTTGACCAGACCAATGATCCATTGCAAAGAACACTTGTAAGTAAAGATGTTTGGACTAAGGGGTGTACTCTATGACTCACTGGTACATACTATAGCTTCTAAGTCAAAATTTTCTTTTCTTTCTTATTTTTTTGAGGCTACACTTTTACATTTTTGGGGGGATGGGGAGTCACAAGGACAGAGAACAGAGAAGAGGAGATGGAGAGATGAGTGGGGCTGAGATGTATGATTTGAAGTCCATAAAGAATCAATAAAAAGTTTAAAAAATGTGGCAGCATACCCAGCTTTCATTCTTATAGCATTTAAAAATACCAGTCCAAGTGTGTCCTCTGTTTAAACCACATGACCAAGATCTGACTAGGAGCTGTAAGAAATGGGCCAATCACTAGGCTTCACTGAATCCAGAGTCAAGCAGGAAGGCAGGTGACAGGAGAAAAGGGATAGGTACAGGCTAAGGACAATCTGATATCCTTGCTTTACTGGTGGCACCCCAGGGGTCCTCTCCTTGATGAACTTTTCTCAGCAGGTCCTAGCTACACTAGTTTGGCCCCATCTGCAGAAGTGGGCTCAGTTTCACAACTCCACATGGTCTTAAGCTGAGAGTGATAAAATGGGGAGAAACTAACCCCTCTCACAGGACTGTTAGGAAGACTCAATAGGTAATTACAGGTTAAGCATTCCTAATTTTGAAAATCTGAAATCCAAACTGCTCTGAAATATGAAGATAATGCCCTTCTGCTCTCAAGCTCCAGCTTAAGATGCTCAGCCTGCACAAGTTGCATTTAGAACATGCCACACTGCAAGTGGGACTCAATGCTTGTTCTTATTCCCGTTATTTTCATGCTCTAACTGTGCCTGCTTTCAGTTTTTTGGAAGTATGCAGTTAGTGTGTACCTTGCTGGAGATATAAAGCTGCACCAGATGGAAGGCACCTTGCCTCCTGTGAACTATGGCAGGAAGATAGTTGCTTTTTCTGTGCAAGCTTCTGGCTCTGTGCTTTCTGATGGCATGACTTTTTCCCAACTTCCTCATTTAGTACAAGTGGCTGACTTTCTAAAATGAGTGCACCTACCCACTCCCTGAGGACCACCATTGGCTGTGTGGGTGATCCAGTGGCTGACTTTCTAAAATGAGTGCACCTACCCACTCCCTGAGGACCACCAGCGGCTGTGTGGGTGATCCAGTGACTGACTTTCTAAAATGAGTGCACCTACCCACTCCCTGAGGACCACCAGCGGCTGTGTGGGTGATCCAGTGACTGACTTTCTAAAATGAGTGCACCTACCCACTCCCTGAGGACCACCAGCGGCTGTGTGGGTGATCCAGTGGCTGACTTTCTAAAATGAGTGCACCTACCCACTCCCTGAAGATCACCATTGGCTGTGTGGGTGATCCAGTGACTGACTTTCTAAAATGAGTGCACCTACCCACTCCCTGAGGACCACCAGCGGCTGTGTGGGTGATCCAGTGACTGACTTTCTAAAATGAGTGCACCTACCCACTCCCTGAAGATCACCATTGGCTGTGTGGGTGATCCAGTGACTGACTTTCTAAAATGAGTGCACCTACCCACTCCCTGAGGACCACCATTGGCTGTGTGGGTGATCCAGTGGCTGACTTTCTAAAATGAGTGCACCTACCCACTCCCTGAGGACCACCAGCGGCTGTGTGGGTGATCCAGTGACTGACCTTTCTAGGCTTTTTCGAAGAGTCGTGCTTTCTTTGTCTTTGTGCTGCAGAGTGGCCTGGCACTCTGCGAGACGGCTGCTGGTACAGTTCAGTTTCTCCTCCATGGCTGCCTTGGTGACCTGGTATAAGATATCCGGGAGAAGACACAAAGCGTACAAAGCTTACCCTCCATGGAAGAAGAGACTGCTATGCTACTCACACTTCCTGACAGGGCCACTTCTGAGGGGAAGGTTTTGTGCTGAAGTTGGAGTGCAATGGCACCGAGTGAGGCTACTAGTGGGTCCAGTGGCACTAGAGAATGCCAACAGAGGTGACTAAGAACCATTTCCTTTTAGTTCAAAGTCTAAGGAGGGGAAGGGAGTCAACTGTCTCAGTTTGAGAACTGGCAGCATTTTGAAGAGCATCGGCATCGATTCAGTAAAAGCAGATCAGACCCCCTTTCCTTGATAGCACACCTCCAGGCCCACCTTCAGTTCGTGCACAGCCTCCTTAGTCACTTGCAGCTCCCGGCTCCGCTCTTCGAGCTGGGCCCTGAGGCTCTCACACTCTTCATTGGCTGTCTGGAAAGGATGAGGAAGCATCGTAAGAGAGAGGTTCTTGCTCTGAGACTCCTTCATCTTTATCACCCAAAATGGTTTCTAAAAACATAACTGCACTGTTTCCTGAAGTGGCTCCTCAACAAGCTTCTTCTCTACTGCTAACAAAATACTTGCAAATTTACAAGGGAAAGTCTCAGCTTATTCCTCAAACAGAATTAATTTCTGCAAGTGAAAAAGGCTCACAGGGCTTCATGGGCTGGAGAGGGCACTTTTAGGAAGGGCAGAAGAGGGTGCAGAGTAGGCTGAGAGCAGAGGCAGCTTCAGACCCACTAGGGCACACACTGGGAATCACAGTACTGTGTCTACTTGTCACTGTCCTTATCTACCACTCTTTAGCCTCTTTTCTTCATGAGTATCAAAGGCTCATGGTCTACCGGAGGGGGAGGGGTCCTCAGACTTGTCTCCGTTAAGGGCCTTGCTTTTCTAAACTGAGCCAGTTCCCGGAGAAGCTGACTATTTATTAAGGACTAGTTAGGACTCAGGATGTCACAGACTGGTGACCATATGGAGGATGGGGCTCCAAAAGAAAGGGCAAGGGTAGAGGCTGAAACTTATGTGTGGAAGGGGCTGTACACAGACACACAAAAGGGGAAGCAGTAGAAGGGTGTGACACTCTTTGAGCTGCAGCCGCGTGCAGTCTGATGGGGACATGGAACTGAGCTACTAGACCTGCTGAGAATTCAAATGAAGTCACAAACCTGAATTTGAGTTCATTCTGCTCTGTCAATGTTGACTATTAATTGATAGAAAGTTCTGTGTGGGCCAGCATCTGCCACGGTCAAAGTGGAGGTTTCTAGGTAAAGGCATTATGCCCCATGTTCTACCTGATGTGCTTGTGTTTCTGCAAAGAAATGTGAGCTTCCAAAGTTGAATGGGATCAGGACATTTCTTGCTGCAGGGCCACCTAACTGTGGAGCCACCCAGGAACACCTGGAGAAATGGCTAAAGCTGGGCTTACCTTCAGTCTGTTCTGGTGGCCCATGATCTCAGCACTTAGCTGGAACTTGAGGGTATCTCGTTCCTGGTGTGCAGCCTCTTGGAGGCTCTGGGTCAGCTGCTCAGCCTGGGCCAGTTGTGACTGTAGACCAGAGCATGAACTAGCTGCCTCCTCAGCTGCCTTTAGTTTTTCCTGCAACTCCTCCTTCTCTTGCTGTAGTCCCATCACTCGGAGCTCCAAGCCCTTTCGTTCCCGCAGTGCTGCCTCTTTGGAGTCCTGGAGCTCCTGGGCCAACCTGGCCAGGGCCCCCTCCATCCGATCCTTCTCGGCAGTCAGGGCACAGACCTGGATGCCAAGCTCAGCTGTGTCTGTGTTGGCTCGGTGTAGCTGGTCCTGCAGCTCTGCCTGCTCCAGGTGGGCTCCCTCAGAGCTGCACCTCACCAGTGACAGCTCTGCCTGCAGGGCTTGCAGCTCTTGTTCCTGCTTCTGGGCCTTATAGAGGCTCTCCTCCTGCAGTACCCCTTCTCGCTCTGAGCACAGCAGCAGCTCCTGGACATGGGCCCTGTTAAGGGCTTCATTCTGCTCCTTCAGTTGTTGCACCAGGGTCTTGTGCTCCCTCAGGACTGTCTCAGCCACTGCCAGCTGGCTCTGTAACTTGTCCCGGTCACCTAGGGCCACCTGGAGCTTGGCCTGGAGGTCCACCACCTCATTCTGTAACCGCTGGGCTTCCCCCTGGTGAATTTCTAGCTGTGCTTGAGACAGGGCCAGTTGGGTTGTGTTGATTTGGGGTAGGCTGAGTCCCTGGTGGCCTTTTTCTGCAGAGAGGGCCTCAATCAGCTGAATCTGCTGCTGGCACTGGTTCTCAAGAGCCCTGAGTTCCTGATCCTGGGCCTCTGTCCGAAGCCGGCACTGATCTGCCTCTTCCTGCAGCCGCCGGCACTCACCCTCCTTACTCTGCAGGGCAGCTTCCTTCTCTGCCACCTGGGCCCTCATGGTCTCTTTGGCTTTCCTCACAGCCAAGAGACTTGCTTCCATCTGGTCTCCTAGGTGCCGGATGCTGGCCTGCTCAGCCTCCAGAGAGGCTAAGGAGCCCTGGATGGCTGCCTCTCGCTGCTGAAGCGCTGTGTAATCAGTTTGCAAGGCTAGAAGTTTGCCCTCTAAGAGCTGGTTGCGCACGGCCATGTTCTGCAGCTCCTTCTGTAGCTCCTGGTTGACCTTTCGCAATTCCTTCTGGTCTTCCTCTGGCACTGTGGTATCGTTTACCTCTTCTTTCTGGAGGTGTTGCTGCCCGTCTTCTGGCATCTCCCCAGTCTGTGATGAGACAGAGCTCATGGAGGCCAGAGCCTCCCTATTCTTGCTGGCCCCATGCACTTCACCTTGCTGCTTTAGTGTGCTCACTTTCTGGCTGAGATGATCTCTGTCCTGTATAAGCTGCTTCTTCTGTTCCTCCAGGTCGCTCACAAGCTGGCTCACCTGTGCTAACTGGGTCTCTAGGAGCTGCAGCTGCCATGTCAGAGACTTGGCCTCCTGCTCCAGCAGCTGCTTTTCTTCTCGATGCTGCTTTTCCTGCTGCCTGGCTTCTGCTAGCTCTTCCTCCACAGAGCTCAAGTGGGCCAGGGATTCCTGTAGCTGCTGTTGGAGCTGAGCTGACTCTTGCTTCTTCCCAGATAGCTCTTTCTGAAGTGGGGTCACATCCTTCACTAAGTGCTCTAGGTCAGCCCGGGCCTTCTCCTTTAGCTGAAGTTCCTTGGCCAGCTGCTCTAGTTTGATACTCTGCTGCTTGTTTAGTTCCTGGGCCTTGGTGTTCTCTCCTTCTAGGGCTTCAAGTTTCCCCTTCAGTTCCTGGAACTTCAGGGCCATGTCTGCAGGAACTGGCTCTTGAAACTTTGTGTCCAGAGCTGAATTTGCCTTCTTCTCTGCCCTGGCCAGGCAATCTGAGAGGCTGGCTAGAAGCTGATTTTTCCTACCCAGGGAGTCTCTCACAGCCTCAAGTTCCTGTGCCATGGTCTCAAGCTGCAGGGTTGAGTGACTATTTTCTTTCTTGTCTACATTCAGCTCCAAGGCCTGCAGACATGTCTGAAGCTTCTTCACTGTGGCTTGGGTGATCTCCCCCTGCTTCTGGAGCTCTGCCACTAGGCCCTTGAGGCCAGTGTTATCCTCCACTGTAGGGTATCCCCTCTCCTTCTCTGCCTGAAGCTGCTCCCCTTGCCTACTGATCATCACTCGAAGTGCTTGGTTCTCCCTGTCTAGTTGCTGTACATGTTCTTGTAGCTGTTTCTCCCGAACCTCCAACTGGTCGAGCTCCAGTCGCATCTCATCAAAACCTTCTAGTGCTTCATTGTTTAGAGGGCTGTTTAGGTCAAAACTGGAGGCCATCTCCTGAGTCTAAGGGGAAGTAAAAGACAGGAGGCTTTGGAATTAGGCTGCCCAGCTATTTGGATAACTTTCTGCATTCTATGAAAGTAGAAGTAAAAACAAAGGGATCACCTGACCTAAGTAAGGTAAGCTTTTAGAGCTATTCCAAGATTAGAACCTTATGTTCAAAGCACCTACCATAAAGTCCAAACACATTCAGGGCCCTGCAAGTCCCACTAATAAGCAGACTCACATCTCTAGCCAGCCTCCATCAGCTTTATGAGTTTAAAGGTTACTGGTTCTTAGAAAATCTAAACTCAGTTACACTGAAATTATGGTAAACCCACTGTATTATATACACCATGACAAAATCACAAAATGAGGTCAAAGAGTAGATCTATCTATCTATCTATCTATCTATCTATTCATCCATCCATCCATCCATCCATCTATCTATCGGTGTTTTGAGACAGCCTTGGTTGGAACTTGCTATGTAGGCTGGCCCCACAGAGATCTGCCTGCCTCTGCCTCCTGGTGCTGTGACTAAAGGCATGTGCCACCATGCCCAGCTCATTTTTTTTCTGTTTTGAATGCTCTTTATAAATAAAGAGCATTTTTTGTACTGCAAATAAATTCCTATTATACAGTTACAATAGGTTCACATTTTTAGTACTTCCTGACCCACTGTTCTTAAGCAGTTTTCCACTTGCTCCTCCACTGAGGACCGGGATGATTTTATTAACCCCTCTTACAGAAAAAAAGAGTTGAAGTTTCTAAATCAATTTCCCCTTCATCGGATGCTGGTAGGTAGCAGGGTCAATTCTATATAATCTCAGTGCTAACCTACATCTTGTAAGACACTTTAAAACTACTTTAAGATTTCAGATCTAAATTTTATCAGACTGTAAAAATCTAAATTCCAGGACATAGAGGATATAGCTTGAAGGGTTATATTACTCTGATTAGAACAACAAGTATTTGAAAGGACTACCCTTGAGTTGCTAGGGAAAAAGACATACCTTGGCCACCCTAACATTCTGCTAACCCCAGCCTTCCCGACATTACCTGCAAATAGTTGCTCACTAAACTGCTCATGCTGGAACTTCGGCTGGGAGGTTTCCACAGGTAAGCAGAAGAGCTGGTGGCCAGCGTCCTCCTGCGGGGGCACAGAGCAGACACCCTTGTATTCAGATGAGAAAACACACACACACACACACACACACACACACACACACACACACACGAGGCAATGGTGCTGACAGTTACTAGGCAACCATGTGGCGGTAGGATATGGTCTGGATATCACTTGAGTATGTCTAATAAAGGGTTCTATGCTGGCCCTTAGAATGGTGGTACTGAGAGAGAGTGGAACCTTTAAAACGTGTGGCTAACATAAAGCCTTAGATCAATGCTATTTGAAGGCACTATGGGACTCTAACCTCCTACTATTTGGGACATATGATCTCTTACTTCTGCATAAAATACACCCCACCTCCTCTTCACAGGCCACCTACTCTGAAATGTTAGTCAAGGGGATCCCTTGCCAGAGCCTGGACCATGTTGTTCAGGCCTTCCGCCTCTAAAACCGTGAACTAAACCAGTCTGCCCCCTTGCACCCAAAAGGAAGACTTTCAGACTCTTTTTTTTTTCTAATTTAAAGATTTATTTTTATGTGTGATGGGGAGGCAGAAGAGGATATGATATTCTCTGAAGAGTGGTTCTGGGATCTGAACGTGGGTCCTCTGGAAAAGCAGAAAGAATTCCTAACTGCTGAGTCATGCCCCCAGACTAAAAATGTCTTTTCTTTATAAAGTTAGTCTGCCTCGGGTTTTTCATTACAGTACTCAATGGATGAATCCTAGACGGAGCATCTAAAGAGCAGATCTCCATGGGCTGGTGGCAGGTACTCCATTGGCATGGGAACGAGAGATGGTCTAGCAGTTAGAAATGCTTGTTATGCAATCATGGAGGCTGGAATTTGAACCCCAGCACCTATGTGACAAACTATGGATCCCAGACATGCCTGAAATCCCATCTCTAAGAGAGGTGAAGACAGAGAGATCACTGGGGTTTTCTGGTTTCTAGCTTAGAGGAGAAAACTTGAGTCTTAGTTTCAGGGAGAATGGGTGTAAGGTAATAGAGCGTAACTGGTGCCCTCCTCTGACGTCTCTTTACATGCACTCACATGCACACAAACAAATGGATCCAAATACTATAGTTTCCTTTCACTGTCAAAAAAAAAAATCCCCAGTAAATACAATTTCCAATTTTTAGTTCAGTTCATAGGAACACTGCAACCTAATCTCACTTTTACCCTCCAGAATTAACCTATAGTTACTGAACTGTCAAGCCTATCAGTCCCCTCAACCTAGCAAGGACCTCAGTCAAGAGTGCCACACAATCACACGTGTGTGTGAGGTATGAGGGAGGATGGGGGAAGGAAACTCTTGGTAGATTAACACCGCGGAAAGGTGGGACAAGCCTACTCCATCAGAGGGTGTCACACCTGGTTATGGTTATTCATGCAGTAGAATATTCTACACCGTGGGTCTGCTAGGCTGTAAATATTTTCGGCTTGTGAAATAAATAGTCTGTATCACAACTACTCCTGCATGAAATCTGTCACAGAATATGTAAAGAGAGGGGCAAAGTTGCTTCACATAGTGCTATGGTTTGCTTCTACCCCACAGCCACAGAATCGCAAGCGTAAACACAAGTAAAACTAAACAATGTGAAATGAAAAAAGGAAGTATGAAATAATAGCTTTCTCATGATTTACTGTGTATAACATTTTGAAAAAATATATATAACATACTATCATAAAATATTTATGAATATATATACATATAGTAAAAATAAAGCCTTGCTATTGACATGCCTCAAACATGGTGCTGTGTTTACTTTTGGAAAGGACGAAGGAAAAAGATAACATCAGAAAGATGGGGTCTTAGTTAGAGCTACAGTATTTTGTTTAGATCTACAGTATTTTGTTTCTTTAAAAAAAATAAAATATCATACAGAAGAAAGAAACCCTACACAATTCAGCCTGAAAGTTTTCCCTTTGGAAAATATGGTTAAGTTAAACTCAAGAAATAATGACAGAATGTAACCCATTGGACAACAACAAAATCAAACCAAAACCAAAACCCTACCACCAACAAAAAAAACCTCATGAGTCAATTCTGAGATAAATGAATAAATAAATAGGGACAGCAGAAAAAACAGTCATGAAGCTATATGTAATTTACTGAGTAAGAACAATTTCTGGGCAGATGGGTGACTATCTTCAAAACATTGAACATCTCTTTCCTTTTCTTTTCAAAGAAAGCAGTTCCCCAAAATACCTAGCAAATGTCGGCCAGGCGGCATCCAGGTCGTAGCCCCTTGATGCTAGATCAAACTGAACCTCAGTCAGCTCATACAGTTGGCCCACAATGTCAGAGCTCATCTTTGGCTTCAGAAAGGGGCTTCTTGCATAATACCAGTCACTGTAGAAAACATACACTGTGTAAATTGAGGAGAAACAAGGATAAGCAAAGAATAAATCTACTCAAGACCATCCTGTGTGGCTCTGCCTTATCAAACCCAGTAACTTGTACTAAAGCAAAAAACAAGCAAACCATTTTTTTTTCTTTCACTGCTGGACCACCGGTTCTTAAATAAGCTTTCTTTGCTTAAAAGAAACTGCTGCAATGATCTAGATTATTATTATTCATATGTCTTTCCTCCAAAGAATTTGAGATACTTAAATCTTTGCGACTTGCCAAGAAAGGGCGACTGTAGGAGACAGGAAAATTTCTCTGGGAAAGATAACCTCAGTTTTTATTCCTTTCACAGAATCCAACAAGACACACTGGGCTCATTTCTAACTTCTGTTCAGACATTAAAAGCAAAGGAGTACATGTCTATCCAGAAATGTTATATGTACATTGTTATTGTGGTTTATCCATCTCATATGAAGCAATAAGAAGTTAAAAAGATAGTACTGATGAGTTTAAAGAATTACTTGTTTCATATTTGTGGTCTGTGATGCTGACTTGTTTAAGGTAGTCTTTACAAAATACCTACAACAACATACTCTTCAAATCAACTGTACAAATGTTTTTTAACTCACAAGTCTGACACACTGGTAAGAATGTAGATCAGTCTTAAAGGTGTCAAAATAAAGCTAAACATTTGACTTATTTTTTAATTCTTTCATTAACTTAAATCTCTAAGGAGAGGCAGAGCAGAAATAGAAAGAAATGCTGGGCAACTCAACGAGGTTCGGCTGGTGAGGCCCCGTTCTGCAGCAACGACCCTGATGCTCCCTCACCTTCCCGCACTCAGGACCACCTCTCTCCTTTTCTGACTGTTTCCTGGTGAGGCTGCAGACTTATGAGGTGCAAACGCTGACAGAGGGGCAACCTGGATTCACAGCAGTCACCCTTCAGTCCCCAGGGAGCCTGGCTCTGTGGTAGGTGGGAGCCCAGACTGAGTAAAGGAGAACCACACCGGCAATTCTTGTGGGAAACACAGGAACACTGGCTCCAAGCTCCAGGATCCCAGTTGAGCATATGAGAGAGCTAGAGAGATATTCCCCCTTTTCACTCCTTTTACCCCACATGCTCAAAGACTGGTAGGAAATACAAAGAATAATGACTATCCAAGAAACTGGAGGCACCGGCCAATGACTGACATAATTTCTGTTCATTGGTGCTATGGGGTTAAGTGCAGCACAGTCTTGCAATTACCTGGTCACTTTAGCGTTCATGAAGCACTGCTGCAAAGTGTCTGCCAACCTCTGGTGCACCAAAGAGTAGCGAATGAAAGCTCTGCCTTTTCCCAGAGATGTTCGGAGCTGAAAACATAGATCACAGCGAGATGAACACTTGCACACAGAGGAATAGCAAAAGCCGCCCGACGCTACTCCGACACTGGTAGCCCTCATACCCATCAAAGGCCACAAAACATGTGACTGTCAGTCTAGAGTAAAGCCTGAAGTGGGCGGGCTTCTCCCAGGCCTCTATCTGAGAATACTCTGCAGCAAACACGTGAAGAAAGACATACGAACGAGACTCAAACGCCTGTACGCTGAATGGAGTCACCCTTGTTCTTCTTCCTATCATTATCTCGGAGTCAGACAGGAAACTCCTTGATTTAATCTGGAGTAAGGTGTGGAATCTGGAGGTAACTGAATGGCTCCTCACCCAGAAGCTACACGAGGAAGGGATGGTAAATTTGGTTGGTACTGGGGGTGAGGCTCATGGAGAGAGGGGCCTCAGGGGCTTGGTTTGAACATGAGTAGAAAAGGGAAGAATAGAAAGGGTGGAGTTGTGTAAAGGCTATGGCAGATGTATAACAGTTCCCTTTGTAGCCAAAAAACAAAACAAAACAACAACAAACTAGTTTCCATGTATCTGTTTATGCTTTCCTAATTGGCTGGTTTCTTTTCAGATAACCCAACTCACTGCTTTAGTCAATGTGCTATGGATGAGAATAGGGCTTTCCAGGAAGTCCTGTCACCAGGAGTAGAAGTCATAGAAAAGCCCAGGTATCCACAACTCTGCAATGACTTTGATGACAAAACCATGTAAAAGCATGAAGGGATCCATCTGAGGTTTAGTCACTTACAACATGGCATGCTGGGCAGACTCTGCAATGAGGCTGCAATGCAGGGCCCCACTAGCTGTCGGCACATGGCATCCAGAGCAAGTGGATTAAAGAGAGCTGCCACAGAGGACACCTGAGACAGGTTTGAAAATTAAGATTCATAATCCTAATATATCAATCCCAGAAGTAGTCAGGCATTCAAAACACACTGAATCTGGCTCTGCGTAGAGAAAGCAGGGCCCACACTCAGAATGTGGTAGGAGAGGGATGACAGTAGTCTGGTCAAAAAGGTTCTTACTATTCTCTACTGGATTGAGACAGGAAGTATGTGGCACACCAATAAGGCACCAATAGTGCTGTAAACATCCCAGTAGCAGCTAACATCTTTAACTCAGAGGTATTTCTGACTTTGAATCGTTCTTACTGATGACTCAAGAGGAGCAGAAGGAGAGGGAGCACGAGCAAGGAACTCAGGACCGCGAGGGGTGCACCCACACACTGGGACAATGGGGATGTTCTATTGGGAACTCACCAAGGCCAGCTGGCCTGGGTCTGAAAAAACATGCGACAAATCCAGACTAGCTGAACATAGCGGACAATGAGGACTACTGAGAACTCAAGAACAATGGCAGTGGGTTTTTGATCCTACTGCACGTACTGGCTTTGTGGGAGCCTAGGCAGTTTGGATGCTCACCTTACTAGACCTGGATAGAGGTGGGCGGTCCTTGGACTTCCCACAGGTCAGGGAACCCTGATTGCTCTTCGAGCAGATGAGGGAGGGGGACTTGATCGGGGGGAGGGGGAGGGAAATGGGAGGCGGTGGCGGGGAGGAGGCAGAAATCCTTAATAAATAAACAAATTTAAAAAAAAATAAAAATAATAAAAAAAAGAAATAATATGAGGTGATTTTAAAAGACATGAAACCTCATGAACAATGGACGTCATAAGACATTTCTCCATGTATTGTCACATGGCTTAAACGGAGGCGGGCAAAAGACTGACCGGATATAAAACACTAAGGGATGCTTCCAAATAGTCACCCCAATCCGTGTTTAGAGGACAACCTCGATGTCAACACCATGTTCACTTTCTCCTCTAGTGAGTTAGATGACAACAAAGTGCTTAGTGGGGACAACTGGGCAGCCAAAAACAGCTAGGCAAGGTGGCCACCCACATACCCCAAAACTGGAGTAATGGTGGAATCTAATCAGACCTCTGCCCACAAAACTACTCTTGTCTGTCAGCTCTCTGAGCAGGAGTGAGTCCTTATTCCTCCTACATGACAGTAAAACTTCTTAAGTGAAGTGCCCACTTAAAGAAAACAGAGAAAGCTCACATTGGAGACTTAACAGCCCACCTGAAAGCTCTAGAAAAAAAAGAAGCAGACTCACCTAGGAGGAGTAGAAGACTGGAAATAATCAAACTGAGGGCTGAAATCAACAAAATAGAAACACAGAAAACAATACAAAGAATCAATGAAACAAAAAGCTGGTTCCTGGAGAAAATCAACAAGATTGATAAACCCCTATCCAAACTAATCAAACGGCAGAGAGAGAATTTGCAAATTAATAAGATCAGAAATGAAAAGGGGGACATAACCACAGACACAGAGGAAATTCAGAGAATCATTAGATCTTACTACAAAAGCCTGTATGCCATAAAACTGGAAAATGTAAAGGAAATGGACACTTTTTTAGATAAATACCATATACCAAAGTTAAACCAGGACCAGGTGAACAACCTAAATAGACCTGTTAGTCGCGAAGAATTAGAAGAGGTTATCAAAAACCTCCCTACCAAAAAAAGCCCAGGACCAGATGGCTTCAATGCGGAATTCTTCCAGAACTTCCAAGAAGAACTAATACCTATACTCCTTAATGTATTTCACAATATAGAATCAGAAGAGGCATTGCCAAATTCCTTTTATGAAGCTACAGTTACCCTGATACCAAAACCGCACAAAGACTCAACCAAGAAAGAAAATTATAGACCAATCTCACTCATGAACATCGATGCAAAAATCCTCAACAAAATACTGGCAAACCGTATCCAAGAACACATTAGAAAAATTATCCATTATGATCAAGTAGGCTTCATCCCAGGGATGCAGGGCTGGTTCAACATACGAAAATCTATCAATGTAATCCATCGTATAAATAAACTGAAAGAAAAAAACCATATGATCATTTCATTAGATGCTGAAAAGGCATTTGACAAAATTCAACATCCCTTTATGATAAAAGTATTGGAGAGATTAGGGATACAAGGGTCATACCTAAATATAATAAAAGCTATATACAGCAAGCCTACAGCTAACATCAAATTAAATGGAGAGAAACTTAAAGCCATCCCACTTAACTCAGGAACACGGCAGGGCTGTCCACTCTCGCCATACCTCTTCAATATAGTGCTTGAAGTTCTAGCAATAGCAATAAGACAACATAAGGGGATCAAGGGGATTCGAATTGGAAAGGAAGAAGTGAAACTTTCGTTATTTGCAGATGATATGATAGTGTACATAAGCGACCCCCAAAACTCCACCAAAGAACTTTTACAGCTGATAAACACCTTTAGTAATGTGGCAGGATACAAGATCAATTCCAAAAAATCAGTCGCCCTCTTATACACAAAGGATATGGAAGCAGAGAGGGAAATCAGAGAAGCTTCACCTTTCACGATAGCCACAAACAGCATAAAATATCTTGGGGTAACTCTAACCAAGGAAGTGAAAGATCTATTTGACAAGAACTTTAAGGCATTGAAGAAAGAAACTGAGGAGTATACCAGAAAATGGAAGGACCTCCCTTGCTCTTGGATTGGGAGGATCAACATAGTAAAAATGGCAATTCTACCAAAGGCAATTTATAGATTCAATGCAATCCCCATCAAGGTCCCTTCAAAGTTCTTCACAGATCTTGAGAGGACAATAATCAAATTTATATGGAAAAACAAAAAACCCAGGATAGCCAAAACAATCCTATACAATAAAGGATTGTCTGGAGGCATTACCATCCCTGACTTCAAACTCTATTACAGAGATACAGTGATGAAAACAGTGTGGTACTGGCATAAAAACAGAGAAGTCGACCAATGGAATCGTATAGAAGACCCGAATTTTGACCCACAAACCTATGAACACCTCATTTTTGATAAAGGAGCCAAAAGTATACAATGGAAGAAAGAAAGCATCTTCAACAAATGGTGCTGGCATAACTGGATGTCAACCTGTAGAAGAATGAAAATAGACCCATATCTATCACCATGCACAAAACTCAAGTCCAAATGGATTCAAGACCTCACTATCAGTCACAACACATTGAACCTGATAGAAGAGAAAGTGGGAAGTACCCTACAGGAGATGGGCACAGGAGATCGCTTCCTATGTGTAACCCCAACAGCACAGACATTAAGGGCAACATTGAATAAATGGGACCTACTAAAACTGAGAAGCTTCTGTAAAGCAAAGGACACTGTCACCAAGACAAAAAGGCAACCTACTGACTGGGAGAAGATCTTCACCAACCCCGCAACAGACAAAGGTCTGATCTCCAAAATATATAGAGAACTCAGGAAACTAGACTTTAAAATGCTAATTAACCCAATTAAAAAATGGGGCACTGAACTGAATAGAGAATTCTCAGCAGAGGAAGTTCAAATGGCCAAAAGACACTTAAGGTCATGCTCAACCTCCTTAGCGATCAGGGAAATGCAAATCAAAACAACTTTGAGATATCATCTTACACCTGTCAGAATGGCTAAAATAAAAAACTCCAATGATAGCCTTTGCTGGAGAGGCTGTGGAGGAAGGGGTACCCTCATCCATTGCTGGTGGGAATGCAATCTTGTGCAACCACTTTGGAAATCGGTGTTTCGGTTTCTCAGGAAATTCGGGATCAACCTACCCCCGGACCCAGCAATACCACTCCTGGGAATATACCCAAGAGATGCCCTATCATATGACAAGAGCATTTGTTCAACTATGTTCATAGCAGTATTATTTGTAATAGCCAGAACCTGGAAACAACCTAGATGCCCTTCAATGGAAGAATGGATGAAGAAAGTGTGGAATATCTACACATTAGAGTACTACGCTGCGGTAAAAAACAATGACTTCTCAAATTTTGCATGCAAATGGATGGAAATAGAAAACACTATCCTGAGTGAGGTAACCCAGACCCAAAAAGATGAATATGGGATGTACTCACTCATAATTGGTTTCTAGCCATAAACAAGGGTCATGGAGTCTACTATTGGTGATCCCAAAGAAGCTAAGTAAGAAGGTGAACCAAAGAAAAAACATATAGTTGTCCTCTTGGCTATGGGAAGTAGACAAAATTGCTGGGGAGAAAATTGAGATCTTGGGGGTGGGGTGGGATGGGGGTAAGGGGAGTTGGGGAGAGAAAAGGGAGAAGGGGAGAATGGGGGGAACTTGGGGAAAAAGGAGGATTGGGATAAAGGAAGGTTAGATAGGGGAGCACGGAAGCACAATTCTTAGAGTTGGCAAGAGACTTGAACCTAGAGTGGCTCCCAGATGCCCAAGCCGAGGTCCCCAGTTAGTTCCTTGGGCAGCTGAGGATAGGGAACCTGAAATGACCCTATCCTATAGCAATACTGACGAATATCTTGCATATCATCATAGAACCTTCATCTGGTGATGGATGGAGATAGAGACAGAGACCCACACTGGAGCACTGGACTGAGCTCCCAAGGTCCCAATGAGGAGCAGAAGGAGGGAGAACATGAGCAAAGAAGTCGGGACCACGAGGGGTGCACCCACCCACTGAGACAGTGGAGCTGATCTATTGGGAGCTCACCAAGGCCAGCTGGACTGTGACTGAAAAAGCATGGGATAAAACTGGACTCTCTGAGCATGGCGAACAATGAGGGCTGATGAGAAGCCAAGGACAATGGCATGGGGTTTTGAACCTACGTAATGTGCTGGCTTTGTGGGAGCCTAGCCAGTTTGGATGTTCACCTTCCTAGGAATGGACGGAGAGGGGAGGACCTAGGACTTACCACAGGGCAGGGAACCCTGACTGCTCTTTGGACTGGAGAGGGAGGGGGAGAGGACTGGGGGGAGGGGGAGAAGGGTGGGAGGAGAGGGAAGGAAATGGGAGGCTGGGAGGAGGTGGAAACTTGTTTTTTTTTTTTTGTCTCCTTTTCTCAATAAAAAAAAATGGAAAAAAAAACTTCTTAAGTGGTAACATTTGAGCTCATTAGCGGAACAGATGAATATAAAGGAGCTAGCTACTTACTTTAAAGGGACTTTATAAATGTTCTTCAGGAAAAGGAATATTTCCTTTGTACTAAAAATGAAAGCAACTATATACCCCCTTTAAAAAATGTTTTAGATCATAGGTCAGCTTTTATTACTCAATTCGTGGCATTCTTGGCATCCCATATATACCACGCTGAAAAATACACACACAATAGCAGCACAGGATGGGAGACTTGCAAGGAACATGGCTGCCTCTGCTTTAAACCAGACCACTGTGCCATGAGCCTGGAGCAGAGCTGGCCCACAACACCTCTAAAACCTGCATGAGCAATCCAGAAGTCAGCACACAGCTTTCTTAACTTCTTTAAATTCTATCTGCGTGGCCTCAAAAGGTCTGAATGCATTATGAAGAGAGGAAAAAAAAAAACAGCTAAAAAGTAGATTGTTTCAGAAAACACTTCATGGCCCTAGGAATGAAGACTATCTTGTTAGACTTCACTTGCCCAAAGTCATACAACTGAAGGCTTCAGCAATGATAAAATGGGAGAGAAATGGGAGAAGAGGGTGAAGTGGGAATCTTTCTAGATTTCTGATATATTACATACTGCTCTACATCATGAACTTGGGTTTCTCGCCAACCTCACAAGACCAAACCACACCATAGTGACATTAAAGATACAAGCAGGACAAACACTTCAGAACTGCCATCTTTCCTTACTTGCCTAGAGTCAGAAAGTGCAGCTGGCAGAAATCACTGAGCCTCTGACGTCAGTGTGTTTAATACTGTTTCCATCCATAAGAACAAACACCATAGCTGGGTGGTGGTGGCACACGCCTTTAATCCCAGCACTTGGGAGGCAGAGGTAGGTGGATCTCTGGGAGTTTGAGGCCAGCCAAAGGGCCTGTGGGCTGACTTTAAAGTGATTTCATACTCGGCAGAGATGCTGACAAGACAAAATGCACAAACTTTTCTAGCATTTCTCTAAATTTCGGGTCCATAAACCATGTATGTGTGTTTCACTTCTGGGTTGACTGGGTTGATGAGAAAGGAATCACTGGGATGGGGAAAGGAAAGAGGTATGAAGGAAACCATCTGAGGTTTAGGCACTCACGATACTCACCACACGGTGTGCTGAGAAAACTCTCTATGGACCTTAACACAGGACCTTCTGGGGCAAAGCACCCAAGACACATGGATTAAAGGGACTGCCACAGAGGTCTCCAGACAGGATTGCAAATTAGGATCCACAAAGGAAGAAGGGTATGTAGTGTGGTGTGGTGTGTTTGTATTTCTTTAGAAGTTTGTAGTAAGACAAACCCAGGGGATAAAGGAAGTTACTTAGCAGCTCTGTATGATAAGAAATATCCTTGAGACCCTACCTTACTCTCCTCACTTCAAATCTAAGTTTCCTGACCAAACTGCTGGAAAAATAGTAGCCCGGAAACTTTAAATTTTTTCGGGCTTTCATTCATTCATTCATTCATTCATTCATTCATTCATTTTGTGTGTGTGTGGTATGTGTGTGTGTGCAGGTCATGTATGTGTCATGGCACACGTGGGGAGGCCAATCTGCAGGAGTCTGTTCTCTCTTTCAACCATGTGAGTTCTAGGGATGACACTTTGGTGGCGAATGCCTTTACCTAAATAATTGTCATGTAAGTCCCCTGACCTAGTAACTCTAGAGAAAATGATTTTTTAAAAAAAGGGAAGTAGTGTTGCACAGGGTGCCATGAACAGACTTTCCAGTGTGGATAGCCCAGTTGGAAGGTAACATTTAGGACCCAGCCCATTTCTGCTTAGTCCACTCTCAAGTAGTTTCCATGAGTCTGAATCATATAACAGGCACCCAGTGTGCCTTGACGAGATTTCTTGTCTTCTTGGCCACCCATAGACTTCATGCTACATCTAGCTATTTCTAGAAGAGGTGTCCACAAAGAAGGGCTTAGGCAGGCCAGTGTTAGACAGGTATTCTTCTCTTCATGGCTTAGTTTACCTCAGAGATGGACTTGACAAATCGGATCCCATCATTTGCTCCCTTCACCTTGGCTAGGCAGGCACAGAAGTAATCCCAGTAGTCCTTCTTGCTACCCAGGAGGCTAGCCTTCTCCTTCTGATCAAACTGGGCAAAAAAGGAACAGAGAGGAAGTCTGAGCCCACAGCTATTCATGCTCTATTAACACAATAAATAAAACTAGTTTCCTGGGAACAGGCACTGAGGGAGGTCGCTTGATGGTCTTACTTTAATTTATTGGCAAATCAGAGTATGTTAATATCAAAACAAGAGTGTTTCAATTCACCAACTTTAGATGTGTAAACTGAGGCTAGTAAATACCAGCTCAAGGTCATATAACTAGCAAGATTCAGGAACAATAGTTATCCCAAAAGATTTATCTCTTGGTACTTGCCTAGCATATACAAAGCCTGAGTTGTGGTTCCAGTATAGCAAGATAGATTGATTAATAGAAAAAGAAAGGAAGGGAGGTAGGAAAGGAGGGAGAAAAAAAAAGCAAGAAGGAGAAAATGAAAGTAATGAAAGGCAAAAATTATCATAGTTTGGTAGAAAACCTCCAATATGATAAGGAAATTCAAGTGAAGAGTCTTATGTTAACATTCAGAGTATTAACTGTGCTGTAACTTAGGGAACTGAGGCAATGACATTTTACCTATTACTCAACTCTCAAGAGCCAATACAATCTTAAAATACATGGAAAATTCAAATGAATGTCAGTGTGAGTACTTTCAAATTCAAAATCAAAATGGGCTTACCTGGAAAAGAAATAAAACAAAATAAAGTGAACTCTCATAACCAGTTGGTGTCAAAGAAACAGGTGGAGGCATAAAGTGAGTTCTTCCATGCCTGTCTTTATTCCTAGTGGTTCTCTCACCCTATGTCCTTTGGTGGGATGTGATACCATAAAGTATGGTAGGTATCTTTCTATATCATTTATAGAATTTCTCCCTGGTTATGGAGTAAGATTTAAATCTAGCTAATAAAACAAAACCCAGAAAAAATAGTAATGCCTCATACAATTGTAAAAATAACTACAGGTCCATTTCTTTCCTGCCTATTTCAAAAGTATGCACTTCCTAAATCAGCAGAGCTGTTTGGGTCAAATTAAGCAGACACAAAAGTCACACCATGAAAATGTTGAAAGAATGTGGCCGGGCAGGTTGTTGGCAGAAGCCTTTAAACCCAGCACTTGGGAGGTGGAGGCAGGTGGATCTCTGTGAGTTCAAGGCCAGTCTGGTCTACAGAGCAAGATCCAGGACAGGCTCCAAAGCTACACAGAGAAAACCTGTCTTGAAAAACCAAGAGAGAGAAAAAAAAGAATGTTTGCCTGACTAATCCTGATTCGGCCAGCTCCACAGTAACCATGCTTGAGGAGCAAGGCTCTGAAATGGGCCTTAGATGATCTTCCAGAGTCTGCACTCTTGGAAATCGCCTTTATGCCTGGCTCGTGTACATACACTGTGTCTTCTATAAGGGTGACACTACAGGGTTCAACAGGTTCTCAAAGGGTGTAAGTAACCCTACCCTACAGTTAAGAGCTTTGTTGGACAGGCCTGTTACTTGTTTTAACATGGTTTAAATCTTAGGGGAATGTTTTCAGTTCCCAGAACGTGCTGACTTGCACAGGAAGACTAAGCTCTTACGACTGCTCTGACTCTTGGTCTTACCACAAGGGCTTAATTGCTCCACTGTGCTTTCTGAACCACATCCTGGAAACCAACAGAAGTCACTCACATAGGGAACAAAAGACTACTGTGACAAAACCAACACATGACAGATGCCACTTACTTGCAGAAGATACTCAAGTTTGTAGGAAAACTTGTGCAAGCTGGTGCTGTCATCTGTGATCGGTTCTCCTCCTTCTTTAAATTCATTGCTTAGTTCTGTCACTGCATCTTTAAGACAACAGACAGAAACATGTGACTAGAGACACATACATGTTTACTTTACATTTCAACAGTCCTAAAATTAGCATGCATCTGAGATGTACTGAAAAGTAAGTCTGAGAAAGCAGAAATAACACCAGGAAGCACTAGGATAAGTGGTCAATGGTGGTCACCTTAGAAACACACATCCCCGTGAATCCACTACCAAGCTAGCACTATACGTATACACAGCCAGTTACCAAATGGTTGCTATGTGGATTAATCAACTGCAGTGCCACAAAACAAGACAGACTTGGGACAAAAAAGAAAATGGCCAGGATAAAGTCTGCTTTGCTTTGTGGTAAAAAAAACAAAAAAAAAACCAAAAAACCAACAACAACAAAAAAAACAAAAACAAAAACAAAAACACCCAATACTGGGTATTCACAAAGTAAAAGTATTTATTTAACATTTTAGCAGCTCTGGATTGGGATTCATATTATATGTGTTGAAAAACAAGGCAATACTTTCTATGCAATGATGCATTAAATGAGAAACATACCTAAAAACAAGGCATCAGTTTTGGAAGTTCCAAATGGTGGCCTCTGGCATTTAATAGTTTGACATTCTGTTTCATAACTTGCCCCCACAGGAATTAAACCGTACCTAAAAGACAGCTCTTTGAAGACAGCATTGAGTTCTCAGGGTGGCCATGACTCAATCAACCTGTCACTAGACCCTAGAAAGGTTCCATTTCTCTTCAACAGTGGGAGCCAAATTTCTAGCACAAACCGTAGCATTCACTACAACCCTATCAGCACAGGTTAAATGCAGGTTTCAGAGCATCAGCAAGTACAAGTAACAGTAACAATGGGTGCCCAAGAGGGCTCAGACCTTTACATGTATTTTTCATTAGTAGAGTGTCTGTTTTATTTCAATAAGCCAGAGATGTTATGCAATATGCATTCTAATTTTAGCACTAAGAAAGATGAAAAAATTAAATACAACATAGAATCCAGGAAATCTCTTATTATCACCCCCATTTTAGGATCCGGCTGGCGAAGAGCAGAGCTCTAAGCAGACGCTGGTCCTTTTACCTCTCCAGTGTGCGCATTGCTTCCTTTGTTGACAGGATGTAGGTTTCAAGACTATTGAAACAACTGTGAAATTTCAGTGAAGCTAATACAGATTCATAAAGCTTTCTCTGAAAACTAGCCACCATGACATAGAAAAGACCATTTTGTGGTGAAACTTCTAAGGACCAATGGCAAACACAGATTTGCACAAACTGTCATTTATTTTCTCTGTATGTCTGTATAAATTAAACAAAAGAAAACAAAAATGAAAGTCTAATGTGGTCACGTGCTAAGACTGATGGTGTATAACCCCAAGCTTTGTTCCGTACTGGTTCTGTGAGAGTAAGAAATGGTAGCAGCAATGGCACCTACCTCATAGGACCAAACAAGAAGATTCCGTAAGTTACTCCCAGTATCATGTATCTGTATACACAACGGTGTCTTATGTACATGAAACACCATTCAAAATATGACTCAAAAAATATTGGATTTTACTGCATTTCATTTATCAGAGTTTTAAATTAGGGATGTTCACCAACATAGTGCTCCAAAATTGCAAAGTATCCAAGAAAACTACAAAATATAAAAATCAAAATCCGGAACACCTTTCAGATAATGGACACTCAACATGCATCAGCCATGAGAGGTCCCAAAGCACTGTAAAGAGCAACTCTGAGAAAATGGGTTGGACCTTGTTGGGTTTTGATCTCCGATGCAGACTATGGACTGCACTGAGGCTATCCCAGACCAATAGCCGTTACTACAAGATTTCTACTTGTTTGTCAAGTTCAAGCAATCAGGAACTGTGACCTCTGCAGGCACAGCTTACGGTAAATGTGCTGGAACTCCAGAGGCTTACAAAAATCAACCCTGGCAGAGTGGGGGATAAGAAACCTACTAAAATGTGGTCCTTGGGAGACCATCTAAAAGGGTAAAACTTGGGTTTCTGCAATCCACAAAAATGCTGTTATTCTGCCAAGGTCTATCTAGCTTCAGGTTTGTCCGCTCCCCTCTCTTGCCTTTCTCCAATGGGGAGAGCCACAAACCCAAGTGACTCCCTTAGGAGTCCCGGAGGTAGGAGGCCTGGTACTAAAACACATGGGACAAGGTGTGGGGAGATACAACATGAAACCTTCAATTACCTCATCTGCCTTCCTGCTTAAAGAGAGGAGAATGTTCCTTTCCCTAAAAGCCTAGCTCACCAAAGCCCAGCAAAGGCAACTAAGCAACTTAAAGCACCAGTAACTGAAACCAGCCCCAGTCCTCCTAGTGTTATCTGATTTTGTTCACAAACCAGAGGTGCTGCTCTGAGAGGAATGTGAGGTGAGCCCTCCCAGCTGCACAGAGGCTGGATTTCTGAGAACCAAATATTTCAATACGATGTATACTGTGTGTGTAAAAGAGGAAAGGGCTGAATTCTGACCATCAACAGTCAGGGCACAGGTCCAAGTTCCTTAAAACAAAGCCCAGTTCACTAGCCACTCAACCAGACCTTGAAGATCACGGATGATCCTCTGGAGCTGGGTCTCAGCACTGCTAGAAGCCATAGTGTCCCCCTTTCTTGGATGTGTCACTTCAGTCAGCAGTGGTCAGACTCCATGCTGGCACCTGTACAGGGAAGAGGCCACAGTTTAAAAAATGCAGAGAACCTTTTTGTGTGAATCTTGTTAGAAGGTACTCTCGGGTCTGCTTCTGACATACTTACATTCTGACACCATGACATGCTCTAGGTTGTTCTGCTTGGCTTTTTTGTCAACTTGACACAGGTAGAGTTATCAAAGAGGGAACCACAAGCATGAGAATGCCTCTAAGGACTGGCCTGTGGACAAGGCTCTGGGGCAGTTTCTTATTTAGTGACTGATGTGGGAAGGCCTAGCCCATCCTGGCCCTGGATGCTGTAAGACAGCAGGAGGAACAAGTCACGAGGAACAAGTCAATCAGCAGCACTCTTCCATGGTTTCTGCTCCAATTCCTGCCTTGACTCAATGTCTGGAGAGTTTTAAGATAAAATAAACTCTTTCTTCCCCGAGTTGCTTTTGGTCACAGTCTTTATCATAGTAATAGAAATCCTAACCAAAACACAGACTTAACAAGAAGCAAGATCAACTTAATAGCAGAGCTGGTTCTCTCTGAACTGCCCACCATGTCTCTTGGGACAGAACTGCCTCATATTTGATTCTCAGAAAAGTCTCCAGTGAACCCCTTACCACTTCCCACAGAGTTCAGACCTGCTTATTTCAAGTTCTGACATCCCTAAACCCCGAGGAGCCAGCTCTGTTCAGAGCCCCGCCATTTTTTTTTTCTTACTTCTTTCTAAGGAACAGTCAGAAACTTCTAGTCAGGCAATGTTGAGGGGTTGGAGGGGGCAATAGGTAGGGGATACATACCCTAGGACTTCTGACAGGGACAGTCTGGCCTGCCTAGTAGAATGTGGCTCCTCCACTGTCAGCACTTTGAGCCTCTTCTGCTCTGTGTTCTGCTAAACCCGAGGGTGATACTCCCTGACCTGTCTGTCACCCAGGAGCCTACATAGCCCTCCCTCCAGTCCAGGGACAAGGTACTATTTTAAGCTCAGTTATAGTTTTCTTCAGCTGGAGAGTCCCCTACTTAGGCAGCTGTTAATGTCATTTAAGGACATGGTAGTGTTTGAAGATTAACAAAAAGGAATGTGAACACCTGAAAGGAAGTTATGACCACGCATTTGGACATTGAAGCCTTTCAGAAGCTTTAATCCACCCTTTAGGTATCCTGTGTGAAGGTGCAATGTCTGCTGTAAGGACACTAACAGCCACATTACTGACAGCCTGTCCAGGGCTCTGGTTCATATTGTACACAGAGCACTTTACTTGTGGAAATCATTATGGTAAGGTAAACACCTTTCCTGTTTACAAAGGAAAATCAGATGTTTTATAACATAAGGCCCAGGGCCACTGAGTAGAACTGACTTGATTAATGTTCTATGTGATTTCAAACCTGCTGAACCCTTAGGACAGCACAATCATCATTACAGTACAATGACTCAACACTCTACCGGCTCCTAGGAACCATCTTGAACTTCAGTGCTTCCCAGTAACATGGCACCCTGAGTGTCTAACATGTGCCGGCTCTCTCACTCATTCAGTGCTTTGGCTTCCTTCTGCTTCAGGAGGTGGGGCAAGGAAGCCCTGGAAAGGAAATGGCTCTAGACATTAACAACTCCAAATATTTATAAGCATTCTAGTGACTGGTCAGGCCAGCATAGGCTTGTCACTGAACAGATGCCTAGGGTCTATTTTTAACTCACAAGCCAACATAGTTGTGACTCAGTGGAAACACACAGAGCTTCTCAGGCCCAAGAAGAAAGAGCCAGGCACTCAGCTAGACCACAGTCTCATGAATGCACGAGGGTCAGGGTTCAGGAGTTCTAGAAACACTGTCTATAAAGGCCCCTAAAAGTATTGGTACCATTTATCAAGGATAATAGACTGGGGACAGGAGTGGTTTATGAGAAGCCTGCTTTCCATCCCAATGTTTCCCCCAGGTCCCATGCTGAACACAGAGACCAGGTAGGGACCAGTCATAGCACCAGAGAAGGCCAGAGCCTATGCTCAGTCAGCCTCTTCACACAAGGCCCAGGCAGACAGTCTCTGTCTTAGTTTGCTTTCTATTACTGTGATAAAACAGGAAGACCAACCTGGGTTGTAGTGGCTCACACCTTTAATCCCAGTATTGAGAAGGTAGAGGCAGGTGGTTCTCTGAGTTCAAGGCTAGCCTGGTCTGTAGAACGAGTTCCAGGACAGCTTGAGCTACACAGAGCAACCCTATCTTGAAAAATCAAAAACCAAACCAGACCAGACCAGACCAAACCAAACCAAACCAAAGCAAACCAAACCAAAAACCCCTATCAAGACCAAAAACAACTTATGGAGGCAATGGTTATTTCGGCTTACAGCTGCAGTCTATCATGAAAGGAAATCTGAACAGGAACTTGAGATGGAAATCCAGAGGCAGGAACTGAAGGAGAGGTCATAGAAGCAACACTGCTTACTAGCTTGCTCCTCGGGGCTTGCTTAGCAACTGCTTTCTTATTCAACCCAAGACCATTTGCCCAAGGGTGGCAACTGCCTGCAGTAGGCTGGGTCTTTCTGGCACCATTCATTAAGAAAATGCTCCTATAACTTGCCTCTGGGACAATCTGATGGTGACATTTTCTTTATTGAAGTTCCCTCTCCCCATGTAACCCTGGCTTGTGTCAAGCTGACAAAACAAACAAAGAAACAGAAAATGAACTCTAACTAGGACAGTCCCCATTGGTGGGGTAAGGATGACTCTGTATCCTCCCCATTTACTGGTGGTCCTATCATCACCCTTTATGAACTCTAACTAGGACAGTCCCCATTGGTGGGGTAAGGATGACTCTGTATCCTCCCCATTTACTGGTGGCCCTATCATCACCCTTTATGAACTCTAACTAGGACAGTCCCCATTGGTGGGGTAAGGATGACTCTGTATCCTCCCCATTTACTGGTGGTCCTATCATCACCCTTTATGAACTCTAACTAGGACAGTCCCCATTGGTGGGGTAAGGGTGACTCTGTATCCTCCCCATTTACTGGTGGCCCTATCATCACCCTCTATTAGATGCTTTGTGAAGGCAGAGAGCCTCACAAGGTACAGTCTAGTTTTGTTGAAGCTGAGCTATTGTGCTGGCTAGTTTTACGTCAATTTGACACAACTTAAGAGTCATCTGAGAGGAGGGAGTCTCAAATGAGAAAATGCTTTCATAAGATCAGGCTGTAGGCAAGCCTGTAGGACATATTCTTAATTAATGACTGATGTGAGATGGCCCAGCTATCTGTGAATTACTGGTGCTGGATTCTGGAAGAAAACAGATGAGCAAGTCAAGAGAAGGCAGGAAGCAAAACTTCTCCATTGCTTCTGCACAATTTCCTGCTTCCAGCTTCTTGCTTTGCCCGAGTTCCAGTCCTGCTTTCCTTCAACGATGAACAGTGATGTGGAAAAATAAGTTCCCAAGTTTCTTTTGGTCATGGTATTTCATTAGAGCAATATTAATCATAAGACAGAAACTGATACCAGGAGTGGGGTTATTGTTTTGACCATGCTGTTTTGGGGAGGTCTGTGGAAGGACTTTGGAACTTTGGGCTAGAAAAGCCATTGAGTGTTGAGACTTCAGTGGGCTGCTCTGTAGGCACTTGGAAGACAATGCTGATGATGGAGGCTGAGGAGAGTCTGTTAAAGACTCTATTAATGCCATTTGCTATTTTGAACCAAGAACCTGTGGTTCTAGTCAGCTGGGGCTGTGATTAACAAGGGATCATCTGAGAGACTCAATTTAGAATCTCAATTTAGAAAATGCCTCTATAAGATCAGGATGACGACAGATTTGTAGGGTACTTTTTAAATTAGTGATTGACGTGGGAGGGCTGCAGGCATTGTGGATGGGGACACTTATGGGCTGGGGTTCTGGGTTCTGTAAGAAAACAGGATAAGCAAGCCAGGAGGAACAAGCCAATAATCAGTACCTCTCTGTGGCTTCTGCATCAGCTCCCACTTCTAGTTTCCTGCCCTGCTTGAGGTCCTGCCATGACTTCCTTTAGTAGAGGACTATAATGCAGAAGTATAAGCCAAATAAACGTTTTCCTCTTCAAGTGGCTTTTGATCATGGTGAAATATCACAGCAATAGTAACCTTATCTAAGAAGCTATTTACCAAGGAGAACAAGAGAAAAACATCTGGTACCCTGACAAAATACAAGTGGCCCATGCAGGGCTATAGATAACAACTCCTGGCTGGGTACTTGGCAATAAAGAGAAATGAATCACAGAAATTACAACCAGGCATTGAGCCTTCAAGGTGTTCTGAGTTTAAAGAAACCCCTAGAAAGGCTAAATATTTTATGCTTATGTTAATACAATGTTTTTGCAAAGAGAAATCAGAATACTTATTGCAGAAAATGGAGAACAAATGGGTATAACTGCAAAAGGGCAGGTGATGGTAGAGGAAATGGAACAATAGTGCTCCATGTCTTGTTTATAGTGGCAAGTGCCAAAATTCACATAATGAGCTGGACTTGGTAGTATAAACCCATAACCCCAACAGCTGGGAGGCTGAGACAAGAGGACTGCTGTGAGTTCAAATCTAACCTGTTCTATATAAACAACTGAGCTATACAGCAAGACTCTATCTCAAAACAAAAACCAGAGGGCTGGAGATATAGTCCTACTGATAGTGCTTGCCTAGGATGCTCAAAGCCATGGGTTCAAAGCCCAGAACTGAAAAACAACCAACCAACCAACAAACAAACCCAAAACCAACCAAACAAAAACAAAACTCCCCAAACATCAACAATAAAAAAACAGGAAAAAACCCACAAACCCCAATAGTAATAAATAAAAACTCACCTAACTGTGAATTATATCTCCCCTTAAAGTAGTAGTGTGATAATTTTTTAAAACATGATGGAACTCACATAGGGACAATTTGCTTCTTTATGCTGAAAGGAGTGAGTGACAGACTCTCTGTGATGACCACCGAGTTGCTACCTGAAAAGAAGCAGGTAGAAGTGAGGCCAGATGGAGGTATAGTGATGATAAAGGTTACAGCTTTCCTGCACCACTTACTTCATTGTTGCCAACCCAGGGGATGTGGCTTCCACATGCACCCTGATTTCATGAAGCCCATGGCTGTGTGCACAGGCAAAATAAGGGCTAAATGAGGCTGAGGTGTGTAGTAATAAGGGCAGCGGGGCTGCATCCCCAGCACCCCGGCCGCTTGGCTAGCTTATGCCCGAAATAACAACACACAAACTGTATTCATTTAATCACTGCTTGGCCCATTAGCTCTAGCCCTTACTGGCTAATTCTGATATCCGGATCAACCCATCTCTAATAATCTGTGTAGCGCCCCTAGGTGCGCTTACCGGGAAGATTTTAGCCTATGTCTATCCTGGGTCGGAGATTCATCGCGTGCATCTGCCTGGGAGCTGGGAGCATGGCGTCTCTCTGAGGTGTCTGCTCCAGAGAGGAGAGCATGGAGTCTGAGCTCACTTCCTCTTCCTCCCAGCGTTCTGTTCTGTTTTCTCCTCCCACCTATCTCCTAACCAATGAGGGCCAAGCAGTTTCTTTTTATTTAACCAATGACCTTCCTCCATCAGAGGTGCATGCTTCTGGGGGAGGGGTAAAGGGGAAGGAGGTAAGAACAACCGACTGTGGCTAACATCCAGGCTGAGGATGGGACCATGTGTGTATCACACAGCCCACTGAATTTCCTGGATCCTAGCTATTTGGAATCTGGCCTTAAGGAAAAGATGTATGTAAACTAAACCAAGATCTTGGCACACGGAGGCTGTATCAACACAAAAATGGGTTCCTGTGTGATTTTGCAGCTGAGCTGGGTGCGGTGGTTGGTGCACACCTTTACTCCTAGCATTCAGGAGGCAGAAACAAGTATATTTCTGTGAGTTAGAATCCAACCTAGTATATCTAGCAAATTCCAGGTCAGCCAGGACTACATAGTGAGACCCTGTTCCAAACAGACAGACAGACAGACACAACAACTAAACTTTGTGGTGCTTGACAGCTGCTGCCCATTGTTCATGGCACAACAACTTGTCCATGGCATTCTCTATGAAACCCGATTTTGGTTGTACTTGGTTGGTATCAAGTTCCCAGATCACAGGATGAGCTGGTCCCCACCACTGGTTTCACATGCTGATGTTCCAGAGTTTATGACAACCTCCCTTTTTTTTTTTTGGTGGGTGTTTTTTTTTTTAATTTATTTATTTTTTAAAGATTTCTGTCTCTTCCCCGCCACCGCCTCCCATTTCCCTCCCCCTTCCCCAATCAAGTCCCTCTCCCTCGTCAGCCCAAAGAGCAATCAGGGTTCCCTGCCCTGTGGGAAGTCCAAGGACCACCCACCTCTATCCAGGTCTAGTAAGGTGAGCATCCAAACTGCCTAGGCTCCCCCAAAGCCAGTACGTGCAGTAGGATCAAAAACCCATTGCCATTGTTCTTGAGTTCTCAGTAGTCCTCATTGTCCGCTATGTTCAGCGAGTCCGGTTTTATCCCAGGCTTTTTCAGATCCAGGCCAGCTGGCCTTGGTGAGTCCCTGATAGAACATCCCCACTGTCTCAGTGTGTGGGTGCACCCCTCGTGGTCCTGAGTTCCTTGCTCGTGCTCTCTCTCCTTCTGCTCCTGATTTGGACCTTGAGATTTCTGTCCGGTGCTCCAATGTAGGTCTCTGTCTCTGTATGACAACCTTCCTAATGCTATGACCCTTTAATGAAGTTCATATTGTGGTGACCTTCAAATGCTTTAAGCTATTCAACTTTCTGGCAAAGATGAGACTAAATACATATAAAAATTATTATTTTTTCCTAGGACCAAGTACTGAGTTTCTGGACATGACCAAGGTATTCTTTAGAGATAAGGATGATCTCTGATTTCCAAATGAACGCTACACCTGCCCAGATGCCCTACATGCTATACACATCACATACAATATATTAATTCCAAACTAAGAAACAAAGACACTCCCTCAGCCTAAAGCTTTCTTATACTATGGTTCAAATGACTAGTAGTCACAGAGTTGCCTGCCAACCAGCTAAGGTGTGACTAACACAGTATCTGAGGAGCCACACCAAGAGGAATCATAAGGGGAGGTTCTAGGATGTGGGGAGTCAACTTTGCCATGCTTTCCTAAGACAACAACTAAGAAATGACCCAGACAGAACAGGGTATAGCTGGATTCCTCCCCAGTCCCAAACAAAATGAAACAATTGTAAATTCCACTTTGATCAAAAGAAATAAATGATGTCAAAAGGCAGCTGGTCTTTATGGAAGAATAAACAGCCTTGACCTGGTTCAGCACACCCAGCAGTGTGTATCTGGTCACAAACCACAGAGATAGGTGCCTTTGATTGGTACCTGTACCTTTCAAGACCAGGAGGTCCCACTGGCTTGAATTGGAAACTGTCTGTGAGCAGGCAGGCCACCCTCATCAGAACTCCACTAAGAGACTATGGTACTCTGTGGGGTTTCCTGGGTCCAGCACAGGGGCAGGCATTACAGCACATGTGAGCAAAGGTTCATTGGGTGACCCAACTCCTTAGACCCATAATTAAAGCCTTTCCTAGCTACATGCCTGAAACACCTTTTCTGAACCCTCCCTCTAGCAATCATTTTTTTTAAAAGAGGGAATGAGGATTTATGACATTGCCAATCTTCTCTTGGCCCCATCCCTCTCAACAATTATAAGGAGTTCCTTAGTCATTTCCCTAAAGCACAAACAAACCAGCCACAATTTGGCCCATGGATTCAGAGCAGGGTCAGAAAGATCTGAGCCCAGGACAGTTGTCTTGGACTTGAGAGAATCCAGGTGTCTTATCTATTTTTATTGCATTGGTGTTTTGCCTGTATGTATATCTTTAGGAGGGTGTCAGATCCACTAGAATTGGAGTTACAGACAGCTGTGAGCTGCCATGTGGATGCTGGGGACTAAAACTGGGTACTTTGAAAGAGCAGCCAGTATTCTTAACTGCTGAGCCATCTTCTAGTCCCTCCAGGGGTTTTTTAAAGAAAACAGACAGTGTCTGTCCTTGGGGCCAGAGCCATAGTTCCACTGCTGGAAAGCCCAGAGAAAACAACTAGGAAGTAAGGATGAGACACGTTCCCAGAACTACTTCAACAATGAACAATGGATTGGCCCCTAACAAAGATACATGTCACCAAGGTGAGGGAACGGCAGATGGCAAAGGCACAACCTCCAGGGTCTTGGCTCGCCAAGAATGTCGAAGGGTCAGTGCAGATGACTGCAATCTAAGACACTGTCCCTCGTAGTTACTTTCCTCATTGCTAATAGAAGACACTGGACAAAATCAACTTAAGGGGGTTGATTATGGATTACAATTCAGGCAGATATATTCTATCATAGCAAGGAAGGCATGGCAGGATGACCTGAAGGCTGGCTGGTCAGCATTTGGAAAGCAGAGTGAACAGGAAATGAGCACCTCGAGTTTGCCTCAGGTGATCTACTTCCTCCAATGAGATTCCACCTCCCAAAGGATTCACAACCTTCCCAAACAGCTCTGTCAAGTAAGGGATGTGGGTCGAAACACCTGGCTATGGGGTACACGTCACATCCAAATGACAGCAGCCACTAAGCATGGCCTTGAGGAGGCTCAGGTAACCTCTGGTGCTAACAAGTAGTATTTTGGGGCCACAATTATTAAGGAAGAAGGTCTCATTCAGGAGTAGGAGTGTCACAACTGTGAACAATGGTGGTGGTGGGGAATCTTGGCTTTTAGGAATTTAGAACAATGGAAAAAAACACGTTTCCATGTCTTATAAATGAGAAAAATCATTTGAGGCCTGATAAATACTTTGACGAAAACAAACTATCCAGTGCTCCCTATTCTAAGCCTTTGTTGCAGAGTCTCATTCTTCTTCTATGGCTCTTTGTACTATTTATATTACGGTACTTTACCTGTTAATCATTATTCTTCCTACCTGTCCTATAACTCCATTGTTAATAGTTCCCCAGTCCCTACTATAGTTCGGGTATATGAAGAATTCTCAGTAAGTTACTTACCAAATAAATGAGACAATATAGATCTTCAGTACATAAAGCAAACAAAACCTTGAGGAATTAATATATGCCAAAAAATAAATAATAATATTTCAAATAGTAGAAACAATCTAGACATTTGTCCTTATACAACGGATAAGCATAGTCTTGATCCCTCATCAAGGAAATTTTTACAACAGATGGAGACCACTAGAGAAAACTACAACCAATTTAAATGCAAAGTTCTGGAGCCCAGTTCTAATGGCTACATCTACAAAACAACTCTTGAACATAAGGCTCAGGGTACATTGTAAGAGGCAGGGGATTTGGGACTGTGTCTCCTAGCAATGTAGAAGCTACACCAAGTTTCACCAACATGTCTGCTTAAATGTGAGCTGAAAAAGCACAACCACAAAGAACATGTCAAAGTGGACATGGGAAAGCCCACGAGGCCTCAATTGTACATACTACAGGCAATTAGAGAATGCTGAGAATGGGGGAAACAGTCTTTCCCAGGGAAGAGCATACCAATTGGTTATTCAATACCAAGTGGTCAGGCCTGAAAACATTCATATGAGTAATGTCATTCAGACTGAACGGGTTATATTTAGGAACATATGTCACGTAACAATAATCAATGAAAGAAGAGGTCATGAATTTGAAAGACAGCAAAGAGGGGTACAGTAGAGGGTTTGGAGGGAGGAAAGGGGAAGGAAAAATGTAATTATATTGTAATCTCAAAATAAAGTAAAAACCAGAAAAAAGTTCTACTTCTTCAATTTTAAAATGTTTTCTTGTTGAGCACAAATTATGTGCATAAAAAAACCCACCATGTAATTGTGGAGATTATATTGCCCTTATTGTGAGACTCTTACAGAACTACTATTCTAAGAATGAGTGGAGGAATAACATAATTCAGGGATGGACTAGGAGTATGTCCTCTACCCTAGCCTGCATAAAGACCCACAATGTTCTGAGTGCTTAGGGGATTTCTGTAGGACCTGTAGTTCATATCTCAGTCTGGGACATATGGTCCCATTTTCTGGGGTGACAGGACTGTACACTAATCTTAGCTGTGTTGGCCTGAACTACCCAGAGTCAAGGCTCTAGCACAAGTCTCAATGCTCTGTGCCCTTTATCAAGACTGAGCTCTGCCTAATGCTCCCTAAACCTTCCCCAACCAAATCCTCTAGTCTTTCTGGTCTTACTTTGGACAGAAAGAAGTGTGTATCACAGTTTGTTCTCTAAAAAGTCTTCCTCAGAAATCAGTACTTGATCCAGAACAATAATTAGTACACCCACTACTGGTCCCCAGTAACCTAACCTTCTTGTTTGGGGCGGTGTTGTGTCTACTACCTGGCTTTAGGATGAACATGATGGTATTTGAAGACAGGGTCTTTAGTAGAAAAATATCTGCAATTAAATGAAGTTTTGATGATAGGTCTTGATCCAATTTGATCTGTGTTTTTTGTAAGGGGAACTACGAATACATAAAACACTACAGACATGTGAGTATAGTGAGAAAGTGACCAGATGCAATGAAAAGAGGCCTCAGGACCAGTCAAGTCTTTACCTACGACCCAGAGTTGTAGCAAAATAGGTTCCTGTTATTTAAGCCTAATTTGTGGCATTTTGTTGTGGTGGCATAACAGGCAACACATTCCCCAGAGTCATTTTCCATTCCCAGATGTGTGGATCTAACAATATCCACTAGGCAGACTGGGGTGGGGTGGTATCTGGAGTCTAGGTTCTGGTGTGTCTCTGGGATATGACAGGAAAAGAATAAAACCAAGACCCAAGGTGGCTGAAGCTTGAACAAGGGGCAACTGACATAACCCTTTCCCTTATCAGGCATAGGTGAGTTCTATCCTTTTGTACCCTGTTCAGACTTTTAGACTGTTTATGTGAACTTTATTATTCAACAAATAATGTGATGAGGATCATGGCATGGTTAGATGAGACTCAATGTACATTTAGCTCACTTGAAGTTATCTGGCCACTTTGTATTCTGTTTTTCAGATGTAGTATTGGGGGGGTGAGGGGGGTAACCTTTATCTTCTTTCTCATGAAGATTAAGAATTGCTATGCTTGGAGAAGGTAGAAAGCGAGAGAATAAATGTTCACAATGGCTAACTTTGGCTAAGATTTAAAGCACCTTCTCTATGTTCCTGACCAAGTCTTCTGTTGTCCTGGAAAAAAAAAATCCAGGGCTAGTTGGTGGGGTAGCATATGCCTTTGATCCCAGTACTTGGGAGGCTGAAGCAGGAGGATCTCTGTGAGTTCAAGGCCAACCTGGTCTACAAAGCAAGTTCCAGGACAGCTAATGCTGTTACGTAGAAAAACCCTGTCTCAAAAAATCAAAACTAATACCCCATCCAGGGCTATAGCTTCAGCCTCAACAAATTCTTTACAGTTTCATTTCAACTGACCATCACTAGTTCCAGCTGTACAGACGTACAATGAATCTCTTTGGGAATTCTGCTCTTGGCCTAGCTTCATGCATATGAAAAGTTTGCTTGGACGGTTCTTTTGGGTCAAGGTTTTGGGATGCTAAGAAATCCCTGAATGTGATGTCCCACTCAGGCCAAAGGAGCAGTACCTCAGGCTACTGGTTGAGTAGGCCAGCCCATAGGTACTGAAACCAACCACTAGGCCACAGTATTAGTAATGAAACCACAGATTCTCTTATCCTTTTCCTCTGACCACAGTGTGCATATATTCTCATCCTTACCCCTATGACCTGAACCAAATGAAAATGGTCCCTTGGTGCTGTTCAAATGCCCGAGAGCCTCATGAACAAAAAGGACCATTGGTGGCCACTATAAGCTCCAGGTTAAGTGGCTCCCATGTTGGGGAATGGGAGTTGGATGAGCCATGTTCTTAGGATGATATAGACACTTCAGTTAATTCTAGTGACTCATCAAAAAGTAACTAGAAAGTAGGCAATATTTTTCCATGTGTAGACCCACAGAAACATCCTAACTTTTACCCTACAGGACTGTTCAAATTGAGGTTCAAATGCTACTTGAGAGAAGCAGGAACATAATAGCCACATAGGTGATCAGATGTCAACATGAACACAGACAACTGTCCTCTGGTTATCGGTACTTCTGATAGGTACCTATAAAAGTATAAATCCTAGATATGACCCTTTCTGCTGCCAGGGGATACTTGCAGTGAATGTGACTCTGAATTCTTGAAATCTACCAGTGGTTTCCACCATGAGATCATAGTTAGTCAACACACTTCCTCTAGCTCATGTTGATACATTCCAGTTGTTGAGTTATCAATATCTTACTTTTGGAATCTCCAGAAATCAGAGATGACATATCATCCAACCCTCCCCTGTAAAGCAAGGGAAGCCAGGACTAGGGGCTGACATTTCTTGAGTACTCTGTGTTCTGACGGCAGCAGGCCTCCAGTCTCAAGGACCAACATAGGTCAAGGCCACCAGATGTTATTGATGATCTTGCTATTACAAGTGGTGTCTTTTATCTCACCCTAAAGAACTGGGCTAAACATTTGGCTCTTAGCCATTCTGGTATCCTAGCCCCTACCATAAGGGGCAAAGGAGCCCGAGACCATTTCCAAATAAATTCTAAAGCAACTACAAAAATAAAGTAAAATATTAAGAACATATAGATACACACACACACATATGGATGACACACATATGGACTGTATACGTTACCTATTTTCTTATAAAATAAATAATTTTCTAAATAAATGAAGTGGTATATACAGAGATGAACACTAAACAATAGCAGATAAACCCTGCTTCCTGAAGCAATAGTTTTTTCAGATCCTTTTAGAAAAAGGAGGCCAAAAGTCAGCACTGTGCTGATTTAAGGATGCTAACAATCCCGACCCATAACTGCTATTCTGCATTTCAACACAGAACTGGTTGTCAAAGAGCCAGAGGGTCAGAGGGCAGCAATTCTACCCAGAAGGTTACAACACTAAAGACACAAACCTGTGGCTCAACATCCCTTCCCCTGCATCCAGCAGCAGCAAGCAGATGGCAGAGGAATTAACCTTGCTTCAGACCATTGGGCCCATTGCTGAGAGAGGCTTGTAAGTAGATTAAGCCCTGATCCTCTGCCTCTAAAAGCCCCTGACCCATTTCTCTGTCCAGAAAAAAAACTGCCACGGTAAATCAGACAAGCAGAGGGTCAGAAAGACTCTGATCAACATAGGCAATATCAACAAGTGCTGGTTTTCTGAGGAGAGACAGCAGTGGAAACACTCAACAGTGACACAAGGAATCGTTAAGCGCATTAATAGGAAGCTATGTGGCTTCAGTGCTACCACATGTTCTACGCTTTTATAAAAATAGATATCGCCCTGCCCCCACCCTCATCCCTAGCCTGGGTGCCAACAGGACAAGCTCTCACAGCCCGGTGCCACCACACTAGATACACTAAAGTTGTCCTACAGGTGTTTCCAGAAACTTCACCGCAGAGCTACCTTGTGATCCTGTACCTGAGCACAAGGGCAGTGAGTTAGTTCAGCGAGGACACCGAAAGGAACAAACTGTCCTTCCTGCAGCGAAGGGACATCAGCAGTCTTGCAAAGAGGAGGAGTTGGCTTCCTGAAGGCTAAGCCCCAATGCCCGCGAGAACTCTAGGCTTTTGCTCCTGTGCCAGGGGTTTTGGGGTACTGGCATGACAGGGTGGCCCCTCTGCTGGTTCAGGTCTTGGAACAGTGTTGAAGATCTTTTTTTAGCCGACCCCACAGACAGCCCGGGTACTAAAACCAGGTCCTCTAACCAGAGGGTTCTCCCGAGGCGACGGACGCCCTGGGTGGGAGGGGACAGCCTCGGCAACAGGTGACTACCCACGCCCCCGAGAAGCCTCCGAGCCGGGGTCCAGAGCAGCCCCAGTGTACCCGAAGTCTCTCCGGCCGCCTGCGGCACTTACACGCTCGTAGGTCCACCGCCGGGCAGAAACGAAACTTTCTAGGGCCGAGCGAAAGAGTAGGACAGCGTAGTGTCAGCGGCCATGAAGCGCACAGAACACCAAGAGCGCGCGCAGACTACGACTCCCGGCATGCTCCACGGATGGCCTACAACTTCCACCGGGTGTCACGGGCCGGTAGGAACTACGATTCCCGGCATGCTCCACGAGATGGCGTCCCTTTGGGGTAGCCTGAACAAGTTTTGCATACCCGGAACAGGGCCTGAAGTCGTCTGTCTGGTCTCCTGAGCTAGAGTTGTTGGCTACTGTTGTTAAGCACTTGTAATGTGGCTGATTGGCTTTGAACTGTGTATGAGCCATTCATATAAAATAATGTACCTGATTCAAAAATTCCCCGAACTAAAAATAGTGCATTAACATTTTTGTGCTATTAATTTTTACTTATTGAACTAAGAAACTGAACCCACTACATATCGCTGAACCTAAATTCTCAGATTTTGATTCTTCTAATTAACAGAGACATAAAATCAGTGTTTGAAATTATGTGCTATTGAACTACCTGCCATGCTTAGCTTCCTCAATGGTATCGAAACGCACCCTGAAGCCTGCATTCCAAGACCAGTATCAATGAACATGTACAGAGAGTACAGAAGATGTCAGCCTGAGGTTAGGTCCTGCTCCTTAGCTCTGGCTGGCCAGCCCTCCCTCTGCCTACTTCTTGCCATTTAGCTAGAAATTCCTGTCTGCCTCACAGAACTCAACTAACTAGTGGCATCTGCCAGACCTCAGTGGTTCAGGTTTTCAGGATAGATTCACACAGGCTTTTCAAGACAGGGTTTTTCTGTTTAACATTCCTGCCTGTCCTGGAACTTGATTTGTAGATCAGGCTGGTCTCAAACTCACTGAGATCGCCTGCCTCTGCTATCTCAGGTGCTGAAATTAAAGGCCTGTGCCACCACTGCCCAGTGGACAAAGATTTCTTAGTTATTTTCATGTTTTACATGAGATGTATTTGAGATAACATACTAACTTGATGGAGTAGGCAGGTTGTGGATGGGAATAAAAAGGAGCCTCCTGACAGAAATGATTCCCTTTGCTGTTAACAAAGAACAACAACAAAAAAAGGGGGGGGGAGTGGGAGGAGATGACAATGGAAACAAAGAATTATCAGGCTAGTGAACAAAGAAAAACTTGCTCCAACCACAGTCTGAACAGCTTTGGCATGTTAAGGATGAGAGAGATTTCATGCACCCTTGCTTAAAACTTAGAAACTGAATAAGTTTACAAAGAAGAGGAAGACAGGCCTTGAACAGTGGTATGTTTTATAATGGTAATGATTCATTTTGAGAATTTCATAGTTAAGGCAATTCTTCTGGAGTATAGTTACACAAATTAAGATGACTATGACATCACTAGACAATTTAGTCTTAAGGGATCACAATCACATATGGTCCAACATTGACCAAAATGTTGTGCAACAGATGGCTGTATATATTAAGAACCTAATATGTCATGCCCTCACCAAAAACTTATATAGCATTGTGTTTAAAACTCAACATAGCTCTGTGGTATAGGTAGGATTCATTTCTGTACTTCAAAGTGTAGAAGACTGAGGCTCAGAGAGGTAAAAGAGTAGCAAATTCACTTGGCTAACGAACAGAGCTCTAAACAAGGATGGAGTTGAAGGTTCCTGATTCATTTCTGTCCAAGACATTGTCAGATACACAAAATGCTCAGCTTTATCTACAAAGGAAAGGAGGCCAGAAGAAGGCAATGGATTCCCCTAGAGTATAACTTGTCTTTTTTTTGAACCATCAGCTCCCAAATAATGACACGGAAATTTTTTTATTAATTATGAAAGCTTGCCCTTGTTAATAATCTATTTTTTCCTAGTAACTTGCTGTAAATCCTGGTCTCTGGCCTCCATCTTTGGAGGCCCCGCCCCTGTGCCTGCCAAACTTTGACCCCTCCCCTGAGGAGGGGCAAGGAAACCTGCCAAACCTTGACCACTCCCCCAGCCTATTTAAACTATCCCAAGTCCCTGGGTGGTCTCCCCCCTCCAACCCCAGTGGTCGTCTTTGCTGGCAGAGCACAGGCATCTCATTAAGCCTGGATACCAATCTAAAGACGAGAAAAGCAAAGCGGCCAGTGGCTCGCTCTTACCTTGACCTTGGTCCAAAATGGCAATCCTGCCTCCAGGAATATCAGAATGAGACTGAGAGTTATCTCCTCCCATCATATAATTCTCTCTAGTTCTGAGATAAAAGGTGTGTACCACTTTCGCCTGGTTTCTAGGGCAAGCTAGTGGGATTAAAGTTGTGTGTTATTGCTGCCTGCTCTGTAAAGTTGGCCAGTGTGGCTGTTTTACTTTTCTGACCCTCAGGCAAGTTTTATTTATTGAAATACAAATGAAATGCCAGTATACTCCACCTCAATCCCCGTCCCCCACCTCTCTCTCCCCAGATCCTGCCTCATCTCAGAAAGCCCACAAAGCACGACTCCTCCTCTAGAGATGCTCATGACCACTCCCACAGGGTATTTAAACTATCCCCAGAAAACAGACACATGGGTTTTGGTCTCTCTTCCCCATCTCCTCTCTGGGGGAGCTGGAAATTCATCCAGACTCATTTTACTCATTAAACCTGGACTTTTTCCAATTTAGTTTGATTTGGTCTGATTTGGATTGCTGAGTCAGAGGCTTATCAGGGTGGAGAAACTTTTCAGGCCTTAGTTTAGGCTTGTTCCTAACTAGCTCTTAAAATGTAAATTAACCCATTTATATTAATCTAGGTTCTGTTATGTGGCTTCTTAAGCTCTCCTCAGTACCATATGCCCTACTTCCTCTGGGTCTGCTGGAGAATCCCCCTTATCAGACTCTTTCCCAGAGTTTCTTTCTCTCCCTGGAAGTCCCGCCTATCCTCTCCTGCCTAGTTTTTGGCCATTTAGTTCTTTTTATTAAACCAATCAGAAGGTGCAGCAGGAAGGACAGAACCGCATCTTCATGCAGCATACAAAAAAAATTATACAACACTCGAACTGGGGATTAAAAATGGTTGTGAGCCACCATGTGTGTTCTGGGGTCTGAACCTGGGTCCCCTGGAAGAGTAGCCAGTACTTTTAACTGCTGAGCCATCTCTCTATTCCCTTGAAGTTGCTTCTTCCTGATAGCTATTTATGGCTTTATTTTTATTTTTCATTAATTCTTTAAAATCTACTGTTGTATGATTTTATTTATTTATTTTTGGTTGAAAGAACAGGATCTGAGTTTTACCTCTGGCCACGGATGCAGACATAATAGTCCAAACTGCCCCAAGGGCATTGTGGTGGAGTCACCTTATATTACCAGGGAAATCTGGGTTCTCTCTTGGGGTTCTTAGTTTCATTAATAAAAGAGTTTAAGAAATAACTCAGAAGGAGTCTTGAGGTCAATTTTATTAAAGTTTCAAAGAAAAACCTGTAAACCAAAAGAAAATCGCAGGCAAGCAGTTTTCCGGAGGAGGAAGATGGAACAGAGGGGGGGGAAAAGCAACCAACAGGAAGACACTGTGGAGTAGAGGTCCTTGTAGAGATGAAGTCATGGGTATGTGATCATGAGAATAAGTTGGAGAGATACTGGAAAGGCAGAATCTAGAGGACGTGGCTCTGGCAGCTTAGGGAGAAGGGATTCAGTGCTTGAGGAAGATTCAGCTTTGGAGAATGATCAAAAGGGGAATGCTGGCACTATCATCCAGATGGTAGGAAGTCAGCTTTCTCTCAGTCTGGAAGAGATGAAATGGCAGTGGAATCTTCAACTTGCATGCCTTTGTTAAGTGATCTTTGCTTTTTCCAAACTTTCATGGATGTATTGGTGTCACCTGGAAGTTAGCAACAATATCTTATTCATCTTTGCATTGTCTAAATAATTACTTAGTGCAGATGGTAGCACATATTGCATTCAATTATGGGGTAAATATTTAAAAACTAGTTTGTGTGTTAACAGTTGTTGCCAGAATACAGAACTTTTTTCAATTTAATGGGATTTTATGGTCTAAACTTCTTTGTGACTGTACTTCTTTGAGGATGTAATTATTCTTGTCCTGAAGACATTTTCTCCAGAAGTTGTAAGAAGCACAGAACCAGACACCGCCAAAAAAAAAAAAATCAGTTGGGACAATCTTATGTGTCAGCAACCTCATTGCAGTTAACACACACTGAGAGTTTGAGCCTTCCTGCTGTCTGGAAGTCCTTATATTTAGGATCTTCTGATCAATCGCTGATAAGCAATCGATGTCTAAGTGAGAGAATGAATGATGAACCAAGTCCAGAAAGTATTGCTTTGGATTGCCCAGCTGGAAGCCACTTTCCCACAGCTGTCACGTCTTTCCTCCACACCCTGGCGTCTCCACTGTTGCGTCTTCTGCAGCGTTCCTTTCTGATCCACTTCTTGTTGCCTTCCTCCAACTTCCCTAGTCACCTCTGTGCTGTGTTCCCATCTTCTCCTCTCAGTAGAAGGAGGGGCCCTCATATGTAAATGCACCAGGGGAGTAGGAGGGTGGGGCTGGGCTGGATGTCTTCTGCCAGCACAGCCGGACCTGCTGGAGAAGACTTTTTAGGTGTCTGCGAAACTTGACCCCAACAAAGACATAAAGCACTGGGTTGAAGCAGCAGTGGGAGAAGGCCAAATTGCGGCTGATGAGATTAGCCATGTCTAGCTGCTGCCTGCTCTTACAGGTCTGCAGCATGACTTTAGTTTTATATAGTGTCTCTAGGAAGAGGATGAGGTTGTAAGGAGCCCAGCTGAGGAAGTATGCCACCACGATGGTGAAGATGAGCCTGACTGTCCGGTGCCTCTGTCTGGACTTTGAACGAAACAAGGTTCTGAGAATCTGTATGTAACAGAACAGGATGATCCCCATGGAGAGGAGAAAGAAGATGTTGTGCTGGTAGACTGAGGCCAACAACCCATGAAGTTCAGAATAAGAACATTGTGAATCAATCACCTTGTGGAAGATAGCTTCAGGGATGGAGGACAGGATACTGACTGCCCACACAGACGTGATCACCAACAAGCGGCAGCGGAGGGAATGGATGCCCAGAGTTGATATGGGGCTCACTACA